TAACTGCTAGGATAAATGAGACAGAAGAGAGAATCAGCGATATAGAAGACCAAATGATGGAAAATAAAGAGGATGAGAAAAGGGAGATAAACAACTACAGGATCACGAGGGGAGAATTCGAGAGATAAATGATACGATAAGATGAAACAACATTAGAATAATTGGGATCCCAGAAGAAGAAGAAAGAGAGAGAGGGGCAGAAGGTATATTGGAGCAAATTATAGCAGAGAACTTCCCTAATGTGAGGAAGGAAACAGGCATTAAAATCCAGGAGGCACAGAGAACCCCTCTCAAAATCAATAAAAATAGGTCAACACCCCGACATCTAATAGTAAAACTTACGAGTCTCAGAGACAAAGAGAAAATCCTGAAAGCAGCTCGGGAGAAGAGATATGTAACCTACAATGGTAGAAATATTAGATTGGCAACAGACCTACCCACAGAGACCTGGCAGGCCAGAAAGGACTGGCATGAGATCTTCAGAGTACTAAACGAGAAAAATATGCAGCCAAGAATACTATATCCAGCTAGGCTCTCATTGAAAATTGAAGGAGAGATAAAAAGCTTCCAGGACAAACAAAAACTAAAGGAATTTGCAAACATGAAACCAGCCCTCCAAGAAATATTGAAAGGGGTCCTCTAAGCAAAGAGAGAGCCTAAAAGCACCATAGATCAGAAAGGAACACAGACAATATACAGTCACAGTCACCTTACAGGCAATACAATGGCACTAAATTCATACCTTTCAATAGTTACCCTGAATGTAAATGGGCTAAATGCCCCAATCAAAAGACACAGGCTATCAGATTGGGTTAAAACACAAGACCCATAGATATGCTGTCTGCAAGAGACTAATTTTAGACCCAAAGAAACCCCCAGATTGAAAGTGAGGGGGTGGAAAACCATTTACCATGCTAATGGACACCAAAAGAAAGCTGGGGTGGCAATCCTTGTATCAGACAAATTAGATTTTAAAACAAAGACTGTATTAAGAGATGAGGAAGGACACTGTATCCTACTTAAAGGGTCCATCCAACAAGAAGATCTAACAATTGTAAATATCTATGCCCCTAACATGGGAGCAGCCAATTATATAAGGCAATTAATAACAAAAGCGAAGAAACACATTGAGAACAATACAATAATAGTGGGGGACTTTAACACCCCCCGGACTGAAATGGACAGATCATCTAAGCAAAAGATCAACAAGGACATAAAGGCTTTAAATGACACACTGGACCAAATGGACTTCACAGACATAGTCAGAACATTCCATCCCAAAGCAACGGAATACACATTCTTCTCTAGTGCCCATGGAACATTCTCCAGACTAGATCACATCCTAGGTCACAAATCAGGTCTCAACCGGTACCAAAAGATTGGGATTAATCCCTGCATATTCTCAGACCACAATGCTTTGAAACTAGAACTCAGTCACAAGAGGAAAGCCAGAATGAACTCAAATACATGGAGGCTAAAGAGCATCCTACTAAAGAATGAATGGGTCAACCAGGAAATTAAAGAAGAATTAAAAAAAATTCATGGAAACCAATGAAAATGAAAACACAACTGTTCAAAATCTTTGGGATACAGCAAAGGCAGTCCTGAGAGGAAAGTATATAGCAATACAAGCCTTTCTCAAGAAACAAGAAAGGTCTCAAATCCACAACCTAACCCTACACCTAAAGGAGCTGGAGAAAGAACAGCAAATAAAGCCTAAACCCAGCAGGGGAAGAGAAATAATAAAGATCAGAGCAGAAATCAATGAAACAGAAACCAAAAGAACAGTAGAACAGATCCACGAAACTAGGAGCTGGTTCTTTGAAAGAATGAACAAGATTGCTAAACCCCTGGCCAGACTTATCCAAAAGAAAAGAGAAATGACCCAAATCCACAAAATCATGAATGAAAGAGGAGAGATCACAACCAACACCAAAGAAATACAAACAATTATAAGAACATATTATGAGCAACTCTATGCCAGCAAATTAGATAACCTGGAAGAAATGGGTGCATTCCTAGAGATGTATCAACTACCAAAATTGAACCAGGAAGAAATAGAAAACCTGAACAGACCTATAACCACGAAGGAAATTGAAGCAGTCATCAAACATCTCCCAACAAACAAAAGCCCAGGGCCAGATGGCTTCCCAGGGGAATTCTATCAGACATATAAGGAAGAATGAAACTGTTCCAAAAAATAGAAATGGAAGGAAAACTTCCAAACTCATTTTATGAGGCCACCATTACCTTGATCCCCAAACCAAAGACCCCATCAAAAAGGAGAATTACAGACCAATATCCTTGATGAACACGGATGCAAAAATTCTCACCAAAATACTAGCCAATAGGATCCAACAGTACATTAAAAGGATTATTCACCATGACCAAGTGGGATTTATCCCTGGGCTGCAAGGCTGGTTCAACATCTGCAAATCAATCAACATGATACAATACATTAACAAAAGAAAGAACTAGAATCATATGATCCTCTCAATAGATGCAGAAATAGCATTTGACAAAGTGCAGCATCCTTTCTTGATCAAAACTCTTCAGAGTATAGGGACAGAGGGTACATACCTCAACATCATAAAAGCCATCTATGAAAAACCTACAGCGAATATCATTCTCAATGGGGAAAAGCTGAGAGCTTTTCCCCTAAGGTCAGGAACGCGGCAGGGATGTCCACTATCACCAGTGCTATTCAACATACTATTAGAAGTCCTAGCCACAGCAATCAGACAACAAAAAGAAATCAAAGGCATCCAAATCGGCAAAGAGGAAGTCAAACTCTCACTCTTTGCAGATGATATGATACTGTATGTAGAAAACCCAAAAGACTCCACCCCAAAACTGCTAGAACTCATACAGGAATTCAGTCAAGTAGCAGGATATAAAATCAATGCACAGAAATCAGTGGCATTCCTATACGCCAACAACAAGACAGAAGAGAGACAAATCAAGGAGTTGATCCCATTTACAATTGCACCCAAAACCATAAGATACCTAGGAATAAATTTAACCAAAGAGGCAAAGGATCTGTACTCAGAAAACTATAAAATACTCAGGAAAGAAATTGAAGAAGACACAAAGAAATGGAAAAACGTTCCATGCTCATGGATTGGAAGAACAAACATTGTGAAGATGTCAATGCTACCTAGAGCAATCTACACATTCAATGCAATCCCCATCAAAATACCATCCACTTTTTTCAAAGAAATGGAACAAATAATCCTAAAATTTGTATGGAACCAGAAGAGACCCTGAATAGCCAGAGGAATCTTGAAAAAGAAAAGCAAAGCTGGCGGCATCACAATTCCAGACTTCCAGCTCTATTACAAAGCTGTCATCATCAAGACAGTATGGTACTGGCACAAAAACAGACACATCGATCAATGGAACAGAACCGAGAGCCCAGAAATGGACCCTCAACTCTATGGTCAACTAATCTTCGACAAAGCAGGAAAGAATGTCCAATGGAAAAAAGACAGTCCCTTCAACAAATGATGTTGGGAAAACTGGACAGCCACATGCAGAAGAATGAAACTGGACCATTTCCATACACCACACACAAAAATAGACTCCAAATGGTTGAAAGACCTAAACGTGAGACAGGAGTCCATCAAAATCCTAAAGGAGAACACAGGTAGCAACCTCTTCGACCTCAGCCGCAGCAACTTCTTCCTAGAAACATCGCCAAAGGTAAGGGAAGCAAGGGCAAAAATGAACTACTGGGATTTCATCAAGATAAAAAGCTTTTGCACAGCAAAAGAAACAGTCCACAAAACCAAAAGACAACCGACAGAATGGGAGAAAATATTTGCAAATCACCTACCAGATAAAGGGCTAGTATCCAAAATCTATAAAGAACTTATCAAACTCAACACCCAAAGAATAAATAATCCAATCAAGAAATGGGCAGAAGACATGAACAGACATTTTTCCAAAGAAGATATCCAAATGGCCAACAGACACATGAAAAAGTGCTCGCCATCACTCGGCATCAGGGAAATCCAAATGAAAACCTCAATGAGATACCACCTTACACCAGTCAGGATGGCTAAAATTAACATGTCAGGAAATGACAGATGCTGGCGGGGATGCAGAGAAAGGGGAACCCTCCAACACTGTTGGTGGGAATGCAAGCTGGTGCAACCCCTCTGTAAAACAGTATGGAGGTTCCTCAAACAGTTGAAAATAGAGCTACCATACGATCCAGCAATTGCACTACTGGGTATTTACCCCAAAGATACAAATGTAGGGATCCGAAGAGGTATGTGCACCCCAATGTTTATAGCAGCAATGTCCACAATAGCCAAACTGTGGAAAGAGCCAAGATGTCCATTGACAGATGAATGGATAAAGAAGAAGTGGTATATATACACAATGGAATATTATGCAGCCATCAAAAGGAATGAGATCTTGCCATTTGCAACGATGTGGATGGAACTGGAGGGTGTTATGCTGAGTGAAATAAGTCAATCAGAGAAAGACATGTATCATATGACCTCACTGATATGAGGAATTCTTAATCTCAGGAAACAAACTGAGTGTTGCTGGAGTGGTGGGGGGTGGGAGGGATGGGGGGGCTGGGTGATAGACAGTGGGTAGGGTATGTGTTATCGTGAGCGCTGTGAATTGTGCAAGAGTGTTGAATCACAGATCTGTACTTCTGAAACAAATAATGCAATATATGTTAAGAAAAAAGAAAAAGAAGAAGATAGCAGGAGGGGAAGAATGAAGGGGAGTAAGTCAGAGGGGGAAAGAAATCATGAGAGACGATGGACTCTGAAAAACAAACTGAAGGTTCTAGAGGGGAGGAGGGTAGGGGGATGGGTTAGCCTGGTGATGGGTATTAAAGAGGGTACATTCTGCGTGGAGCACTGGGTGTTATGCACAAACAATGAATCATGGAACACTGCACCAAAAACTAATGATGTAATATATGGTGATTAACATAACAATAAAAAATATAAAAAAGGTTAAAAAAAATTCCTTACCATATGTTCTTGGAGAACTTTGTATGTTTCTGTGGCTGAAGAACATATTTTAATTGGATCAGCAAGTTTATCTTCAAACTCAGACACAGACTTCTGGATCTAAAACATTAGTGAAATATAAAGATAATGGTGGGAAAAATGTACATCAAGGCAGAAAAAGTTACCGAGGAAGCAGCATGCTTATCTTTTTGGATAACTTTCAATAAAATGATTAAAACATACATATTTTTTAAAAATCTAAAATCAATGTGTCCTATTATTTGAAAGGAATAGATAAGGCTTAATGCCTATCTGAACACAATGTATAATGACATTTTTATATTCCCTCAAAAAAGGTATCACATGGATAATTAAAAACTTAGTCATCATTGACAACTTGGTAAATGATTAGCAAATTGTGTCTTCCCTTAGTCTACTATTTCTGGACTACTTATTGCATTTCATTATAAATGCAATAGGAAATGATAACTTTCACATGCATGGACGCATCCTTACCTTTCTAAGAGTCTCTTCAAACTTTTGCTGCTGAGATAAATGTCCCAGGATTGTTCCTTCCAAACACTGTGCATGCTCTCTGAGTTCTTCCCAGTACCTTCTTATTTGTGTCAGCTTGGCTTTGATTCGAGCAGATTCTCCAGTGGTGACAAACTGAGCGAAAGACTGAGCTTCTTCTTCTAATTCTGTAATGCTGCTTATCTTGCTTTCTATTTCCTGAATTGCGACCTAATATTTAAAATAAGAAAAATGACAACGTGGGCTGAGCAAGCTTGTCTTCCTGAAATAATAGATTATCTGTACAGAGAGAAAATCAGGAGGGGGTCTTCTTAGCTGAAATTTCAACATACTTGGACCATTAGAGAGTGGCTATGAAAAAACACCATATGTTTCCCGACCTTATTTGGGGAGGAGAGATATGCAGACAATGTCTGGAAGATATGAAGTGATGGTGGTCGTTCTCAGAGCATAGAAAATAAAGAGAAAGAGCTACCCCTGTTGCAGAGAAGCAGGGAGATGTCCCTGTAGTTCATATTTTTCATTTTTGTATTTCATGTTTTACCAAATAAGAAGTATCTCTAAAGGTAAAGAGAATTCCCTGCTTATCCTGAGTCACTCCTTTTACCAGCTGATCTGGGAAGCAGTGTGTCCCAGTAACTCATAGAAATGCTAATGTTGACATTCATTTAATTTTTCTCAAATGTAGCTGAGTATTTCATATTTACCAAACTAAAAGCTTTTTGGATTCCACTCTTACCTAAAACCAGTCTTTTCAGATTTATTGTCTTTATGCCAGTGGTTTCCAAATTTGGAATACGTTAGGATCACCTGGTCCCCATCCTCAGAGACTCAGGCTCAGCAGGTCTAAAGTGAGGCCAAGACTTTGCATTTCTAACAAATATCCAGGCAATGTTGCTCCAGCTGATGTTGCTATGAACCACTGCTTTACTCATTAGCTGGGGGCTTACAGTGAAAAACCTACAAACTTATTTCCTTTTGGAGCAGGATGACACTTTATATATTAGTCAACACATGAAAAGTACTGAAAGACACTAAGAATGTGTGTGGGGGGGAAGGAGGCATGTCTATCATAAACACAGAGGCTTATTTATGCATAAGAGAATGAAAATGATTTCTCTGAGAAAAAGAGCCAAATCTTCTAATCAAATAAAGCCAAAAATTCAGACAAGTCTCAGTTTTGAATAATTTAAATGGAGAATACTGTTACCGTAGGAAAAAAAAATGTGTGACATGTCTACATGAGACTACCTAGTCAGAAGTAACTTCTGTCTAGATGAGACAATCAGAAATAACTTAGGTTAGTGCCAGGTGTTCATCACTTATTTATTTTTATTTTTCACATGCATGACTACACTGGTATATCTAATAGATATTTGTTATTTGAACATGAATACAACCTTTTTTTTTGTTTTTCAAGATGATATTTTTTTAGAAAAATTACTCATAAATTCAACAAATATATACTTGGTGTCTCCTATGTGCCAAAGTTGTTCTAGGTGCTTGCAAAACCTCAGTGAAGCAATCTTAAATAAGACAAAATTTCTTAGTTTTTAGAGTAATACATGTTACCAACAAATTCATAAATGCAAACTATGTAATATTGTTGGATTCTAATCCAAAAAGGGAAGATGGAAGATGAACCCAGTGTATGTACTTATCATTTGTAAATTATCAATTAAGAATAAGAAAATCAGTCAATTTGGAATAGCATGTAATGAAGAATAAAAGTGGGCTTATAGATAAATGTCTTCACAACAAGGCAGATACTTCATTAATTTTAATCCTAAGGTTGTTTTAAAGTGAAACTCTATGATAAATGGTACCTTTTTTCTAATATTTCCTATAATGTGGTCTTCTGTGTGGAAACAGAACATGAACCTATTAGCCTAAATTTCACAGTACTAGTGTATTCCGTACCATCTCTGCTTATTTCTAGCAAATACTTTTTTCCTACTATTCATATTCATTTAATACATTTTAGATGTTTCAAAATACTACATTGGAATATTAAAATGTATTTCTAGTCTAATGGCATGGAAATCTACAATTGAATGTTTATATATTTAAAAATTAATTGTGTAATCATTTTGTTTCCCAAAGAGTAAAGAGGTGATGACAGTTGATCACTGATATATTTTAGAAGTCCTGGAATTGAATTAAGGTTTAAAAAATAATAAAAATGAATTATAGCAAGAATAAACACATTAAAAAGTGTGTGCCAAAATTTTTTGAAAGAAAATTTTTGATAAAGCTATTTAAATGTGCTATTCTTTGTTTACTTAGGATGTAGTGAAATGATCAAATGACAACTTTTAAGAACAGTTTGAGATTAAACATATTTCATGAATATTCCTTAGTGGGTTGACATCTATTTTCCCTAGTATACCACACAAGACATAAGCAGACTCCATATACCAGATTCCATGTATCCTTGATTGCAAAAGATGTAGGATAAACCAAGATAATCTGCACAGCAATGTAATCATAGCTAAGAGACAAAGAACCCTTCCACTGTGCACATGGTAATGATTTGTTCTGAGCAATAATGTGAAATACCTTGGTATTTATTTTACTATTTTTAATTGAATGAAATTAAATTAATTTCAGAGGGTTATCCCATTCAAAAAAAAATGAGATTAGATAGAAAAAGTGGCTGCATTTTGAAAGTTTGTTGTGTAAAAACTATAAACGAAAGAGAATTCATTTCTTTCAGTCCATTTTTTCTTAAACTATTTGAATGAAGTGAACAATGACAGTCTACGCACGTAGTCATTTCAGAGTTGGGAAAGCTAAAGTATCAGAGCATCTCAGTCTGTGCCCAAAGGTCATCCTAAATGAAAGCGTTTAAGCAGCAGTCTGATGTCTTCACCTAAAGAAAGTAATTGCTCCTCCCTGTGGTTTGTGAGGGTAAATGCCACAAATACTTGAGCCAGACATTTGAGTAACACTCATAAAGTACAATTGTAGGTGATGGATACATTTCGTGTTGTATAGATGAATCAACAGAACACTCCAATGGGGTTAATTCAAAATCAAGGAAAAGAATAATGTAACCATAAAAACATTTTAATGATATTGCACACAATACTGACTTTGAATGCATAAGTCAGAAAATATCAATACATAATTCCAACTATAAAGTGTTGCCCAGTATCAATCAAGACCTCGCAGCTCAGCATTTTGTGTGAATTGAATTTTAATAGAGTCACATAGCAATGAAAGATTTATCGTGGGGCCAACTAGCATTTGATGAAATATAAGAAAGGAGTTCTTAAAAGCTAGACATGGATTATAAATGTAACGTGTGAGCAGGTCACCTTAATCTGGTGGATTTGCATGTCCATGGCAGATGACGAAGTTTCCAAGGCATTGAGTTCTTTTTCTTTCTCAGTTATCCAGACGGACAGGGTCTCAAAATTATTGCCAAAATGATCCCACTTGTTTTTCACCATTTCCATGGTTTTAATACTAAAATTAACCAAATTAAGTAAATAAAATGCAGTATTTTAATAGAAAACAACAACACATTTTCCTTTAAATCACCAGATGAAAAGACAGCAAAGGCATTTGTGACCATGTCAAAGTTGAAACTATTGGAACAGGAAAAAAAATGCACATTTGATCTGAGTAGTCAGTCCTCGAGTCTTCCTATCTATCTCCTCTGAGAACGAGCATTTAACGAGGTAGTATCTATACTATGTTATGAATGGAACTGTGCTTCGAACAAAATATAGCTGGGTCCAAAGGGGTTTGAATCCAGGTATAATCTAGGCAAACTCTGCATGTGACCAGTGGTTGCCAGGACCTTTAATAAGCTGCCCACATAGATTCCAGTACACAGTCTTTCGGCTGTCTTGCTCTTGTGGACAAGGTCCTTTCCCTCTCAGAGCAGAGATACCGCAGGGATGCTCTATACGCAAAGATCTTTATAAAATGCACCTTTATGAGTCAAGAGAGAGCTTGTAATCTGAATCCCGTGCTGCCTTAGAGGAACTGTTTCTATCATTAGAGCTAATCCTGCAATTTATAATCTATAATGATTTCAGCAATTCTTCAATGTTGGTCCTGTCTTGATTCCAAAAGACTCTTACACAGTCTTATACATGAGCACCCTAACAGCTTTTAGAAAATTTGGGCTTTATTTGTTATAAATCTAGTAAACAAAATTTCAACTATAGATGTCCAGTTTGTATGTGTATATAACCATGTGATTATGGCTTTCATTTAGAAAAAGACTAAGAAACTAACAGTATGTCATTGAACTGATACGTCCTTGGGTTAAAAAAAAAATCAAAGAATTTCCCTGTTTACCAAAAGGCACTTGAAGACATCAAGAAGAAAGCAATGGCATCATTGAATGTTAGATTAAATAATATTGCAGTCTCAAAGGTATACCCTGGATGTGCCTAATGCTCTCATTGGTCCAGGTAATGCAAGCTAAGTTATATTGCAAGTTTTCAAATGAAATAGATTCAAATGGATATTTCTAATAAAAGTAGCTTCTTTTCTAATAAACTCTAAGTTTCATTATTTCCATAACTTGAAGGATAATATTTAATATAAAGTTCTCAAAGTTTTAAGTCATAATTTCCTTTAAATTATTTAACAAATTTTAAAATTTAGGCAAATGTACAATGTTAATTTCAAGGTGTTACTAACATTAAAAACAAATTTTACATTTTAAAATCCACCTTAGAAATTATGTCCTATAGCTTAAGAATAATATGTGTTGATTTGCCAGTAGAGAATCTTTAATAAAAATGTGAAGCCATATTATGTTGAGGAACATTGGCCTTATCTTCATATATCTATCCTCTCCAAATTTCTTTTTGCTTATTTTGCACATAATAGCATACCATAGGCCAAACTATTTTTCCTTTCTTTTTAGATAAACAAATATTAAATGTTGAAAAGTAAAATAAATTTTTGAAGTTAATTTTTGGAAACAGTATATCAATCAGTGACAGCTCGAATATTGAGGCACTATAATAAACAAGCTCTGTGAGCTTCTTGGAGATGGAGACACTTGGTCTATGTCACACATATTTAGGCCCAGCATCTACACAACCAAAATATCTCTTCTTCCCTCTAACTGGTGACAGCAGAACAATACAGTAAAAAAATTATTTTAAATATTGGTTCTTTTTTGAGATTGTATGAAGGCCACAGAATTTAATAGATATGGCTTTCTCATGAACAAAGTCAGTTTACAATGCAAAAACCACATCCCTTATATTTTTCTGCTCTGTTATATAGACAATGGTTTCTGTCTTGGTGATACTTTCTTTTGAACTGTGAGTTGCTTCCTCAAAACATGCTGAAATACACAGACACTTTGAGATTTTAAAGGAATGTTTTGAATACAATATACAGGAAAAACTGTATGAAACTTTATCTCAGAGAAGAAAGTTTAGGACTTGTCAAGCACATACTCTTCTTCAAGTGTGTCTTCTAATTTTTTGACTTGCTCTTTGATTGACTTGGCCTGCTGCTGAAGCAGCTGCTTATTCTTGGGACCAAGTGGTATCTCGGAAGCTTCCTTCACAAGATTTTCAGCCTGGACTGCAATACCTTCTGTTCGTTTAGAAAACTCCTAGAAAAAGAGATTATAATTGTTAGGAAGGCATCTTTTATTAAATTCTGCCCTCAACTAAACTGCATATACTTGCAGAGTGTCTACTAGAATAGATGGATGGCTAGATAGATTCATACATGCATGAATTTTAGTATATAATAGTCTTGGTAATAAGACAGACTTATTTTCATCATGCCGAGAATAAATACCTCACTAGATTATTTTCATTTTATATACACAGTCAGATATCTACCTTCATAGTTACCCAGCTATTCTCACAAAAATTTTTTTCCTTTGTTTCCCCGTTTGGGTTTATTGCTTAGAATTCTGAGCTGCATTATAATAACTAACTTATCCACAGGTATGTTAGGCACCATTCGAGCAGTGATTAATAGTGACTGATTTTTTTTTCAAACATGATATTAAGAGATTTCTAGGCCAATTAATAAAAATACTTTTTATTTAATGGAAGAATATTTTAGTCAATACTGTGTATCACTGATATTTACCTATAAAGAAACATATTGTTAACTAGTTCCCTGAAAAGAGAGATAATCTGATCTTAATGCTGTTAAATCTTATTCACTATATACCTATACTACATGATGAAAAGAAGATAAGTTCTTAACCAGTCAAACCTGGACTAGAACTTTAGATTTGCTAATTACTAGTTGTTTGACTTTGGTGAATTATTTTTCTGACTTTCATATAAAATGCAGATAGTAATGCTTTCCTTGTAAGGTTGCAGTTAGCATCTCATTAGCAATTTCATTTTTAAGTGCCTGGCACTCTAGCAGGTACCTATTATCACTTTTTTTTTTTTTTTGTCCCTCACATAAAATTGAGGACAAAATGGTTCATAAAATTCACACACTGATTTTCATTAATAGTGAACTACTTCAATTCAAAAATGAATTTAATATGGGTGATGCACTTGTATATTTTAGCTGTTACCCGAATTTTGTCAGGTAAATGTATTGAAAACTGAATTTAAAAAACTAACTCCAGAGATAATCTTGTGTGAAAAGAATTAGCTTAGTGTCTCATTTTTTCTCATGTGAGAGACACTCATGGGAGGTTTAAATTTTGATCAGAACTCGTCTCCAAAATAGGTAATGAAGAAATCTGAAGTAAATATTTTCAAAGGTAAGACTTCTAACAGCCACCTCTTCCCACAGAGTATCTCCCAGAATTATCACATAATGCCATGTAAGATAGTTACTACATAATACTATTGTATCTTCATGTTTGAAAGACTTAAAGTCCTCATAGAAATATCAACATTACTTCAGAGAAGTACCCAGGAATTTGATAGAATAAAAACGGGTAAGTACAGCTTCTTTTTCATGATAGATTTATAATATCCTAAAAATCAGTATTTGCCAATGTCACATTAAATTCTGTGGTTATAAGCATCCACTGTTGCTGGGATGAACTTATAGTCAAGGTGGATTCATTTGTGAAGACTGAATCACAGCATAATCTCTCAGAACCCCGTGAACAGAATCAGAAGTGTAACATAGTATTTTTCCCCCTAGTGTTTCCCAGAGCCCAGAAAAATCATGGAGAAAGTGAAGTTATGTCTGAAAATGCTTATATATGTTCACTCTAAGAGCCTTCCTAAGAGCTTTCTAAGAGCTAGGTATGGGGAAAGCGCAATGCAGAGGAATTCAAAGGACAGAATGATGTTGATAAAAACCAAATTGAACCAAAACAGAATAATGTTAAAAGGGGCGCCTGGGCGGCTCAGTCAGTTGGGCGGCTCGGCTCAGGTCAAGCCCTGCGTCTGGCTCCCTGCTCAGCAGGGAGCCTGCTTCCCCTTCTCCCTCTGCCTGCCACTCCCCCTGTTTGTGCTCTCTCTCTGTGTCAAATAAATGAATAAAGTCTTAAAAAAAAAAAAAAGAAGACTGCTATAAGGCTTTATCTCTAAGTCCAGCAAAGAAGTAGAGAACAATTATTCTAGATTACATGTGCTTGTGGAACAACATATGGAAACAGTAAAGTAGCTCAGTTTTTCAGTGAAAAATCTAGTGCCTAAAGGTGTGTGCTCTGGGCTTGGACCTCTTAGGTTTGAATCCCAACCTCATCAGCTAGCAATCCTGAGATACTGGATAAAATCATTAAAAAAACTTTGTACCTTATATTTCCTCCTTTATAAGGATTCATAATGACACCTATTTCTTAGGATTGTTTTGGAGATTAAAGAAGATGATAAACATCAAGTGGTTAGAGCAGTATATATGTGAGCTCACATTATTAAACCAATCCCAAAGTATGCAAGATTATTAGCTAAGGAAAATTTTAACAGACTAAAAAGGTTACATTTGCTTCATCTACAGCTGATAAACAAATTCAAAGGGATCAGAACCACAAGGTATCAGAAACATTGGATGGAACCTGGGTGGAACACCCAGATGATAATTAACCCATTAAATCTGTATCTATAAAAGACACCTGATATATTTTAATATATAAAATAATTAAAATTAAAATTAAAAATAATGTTCTATTTAAATGGCTGATGAAAATCATACAGAATTGAAATATTCTGTGACTTTATAAGACTTCAAATTCTTCAGTGAGTTAATACTAGGAGAGATAATACAAAATTGGCAGTATGAGAGAGAGAGAAGCCTGTTACTGGTAAGAAAAAAGCAGCACAGAGGTTTACTTACTGAAGGTTACTAACTGATGGATATGAGTCTTTCTTATTCATTGGCCAACATATTTCTGTATTAACTCAGTCATTTCTATAAACGCAAAACATGGGCAAAAGGAACCAAAAGAACTTGTACAACTCTCTAAATGCTTCAATGTTTTGGTCTGCTCTTAACTGCCTAAGGTGTTTGGGCTTATAGGCTTGGGCTAATTAAGCATACCTACTAAATATTATCTGTTAGATGTTCCACTGGAGCCTCAACCTCAATTTGTCCCAAACTGAGTCTGTCATCTTCCTCAACTGACAGGCACTCCTTCAAGTTCCTGTCTCACTCCCATTGCATCTGTCAGGCTCAGAACCTTGGATATCTTACTTTCCTTTACTTTCTATCTCTTGCATCTGTTCCCACTGCCATCCCCATTGCCCTAATTTATGTCCGTATTAATATACACATGCAATAACTTTCTAATTGGATCCCATGACACTGGTCTTTCACCTTTTCAATTTTCTACACTGCTTAAAAATATATCTCTCTAGGGGCACCTGGGTGGTTCAGTTGGTTGAGCAGTGACTCTTGATTTTGGCTCAAGTCATGATCTTAGGGTCTTGGGATGGAGCCCCAAGTCGGGCTCCGTGCTCAGCGGGGAGTCTGCTAGAGGATTCTCTCTCTCTCTCTCTCTCTCTGTCCCTCTGCCCTTCCCCCTGCTTGCACACGCACTCTCTCTCTCTCCCTCAAATATATAAATAAATAAATCTTTAAAAAAATGCATCTCCCTAAAGTACAGCTCTGATCATGTGATTCTTTTTCTTAAAAACCTTTAAGGGTTTCATGTTGTCTAGACCCTCCAGTGTCTTTGTAATATGGCCCAACTTTCCTTTACAACTGTACTTCCATTTTTCTGCCTTAAAACAGAATCTCCATACACTCTCATATTTCATGCCATTTCTCATTATAGGAATGCTCATGTTTTGTCCCACATTCTGCTTTTCTGTGTCTTACCTGCCCTTCAAAGTTCAGTTAAAAATACTACTGCCTTCAGAAAGATTTTTTTTAATGTATTCATCTATGAGGGAACTAACCACTTCCCACTTTAACAAAAAATTTCTCTTAGTTCTTGATGTTTAAATCTTATTTATTTCATTCCCCAGAGCAACTTGACCAGTGTGTTGAAGAGTGGGTGTTCAATAAACAAAAAGTATCGATTAAATGAATAAATTATAATAATTAATGGTAATAAGGGATGGAAACACAGTTTTGCTTCTGAATAATGAGTACCAAGGGATTGTATGGTCATACTGATATACCTTTGTCTGTTCCAATTCTGAAGACAAACTTTCCAAACTGCTAAAACTTAAGAAGCGCTCATGACTGGAACCTGTTTGAAAAAGGTATCTGACCACTGTCTCTTTGTTTGTTTCAAATCGCTCCCACTTTCTTAATGTGACCTAAATTTGAAAAAAATAAACATGTTATGAATTATCAACATGTGTCAAAAATATTGTTCACATTTCCATTCATTTGTTAGGCTGTCAACCACCAGTTAACTCTGTTCAAATTTCACATGGTTATGCTGAACAAAGATGATGCTAATGTCTCCTGTTAGAATTTCACTCCGTGTTTCAATTCATCTACAAAAAAGAGGATGTGTAGACTAGCACTCTGAGTGTTCTATCAGCTGTAAAGTCCTATGAATGTGAAAAACTAATGATGTAATGTATGGTGATTAACATAACAATAAAAAAATAAAAAAAAAGTCCTATGAATGTAAGGATATTACTTAAAATGTGGATAAGGGATAAAGGAAAAAAGAGCCTCCCAGGCTCTTTCAAAAAAAGAAAAAATAAAAGGGAGAAAGAGAGAGAAGGGGAGTGGGTAGTGAGCAGGTGGCAAGAATTCAAAAACTTTTAAAAAGTGTCAAGATCACAATAAAGCATAAATGTGTCTGCGGGACTTCCCAGAAAAGTGAAATGAGCCAGTGTTAATTCCTGGATTCAAACAAGTGTGGATTGAAATTCTGGCTTTATCACTGATCACTGCTCTGTGACTGTGGGTAAAGTCCTCCAATTATTTCTTGTGAAGCTTTCACACTGGCAAAATGTGCTAATTATAGTATCTATCTCCTAAGGTTAATGTGATGATTAAAAGAGATAACTCATGTCAATACTTAACACAGTGCTGGAGTGTTAGAGGCAGGAACCAACGTTCGCTCCCATTGGGAGATGTAAGCTGTGACCTGGAGGTTAACAGGGCCCTAGACTTCTAGTCTCCCACCTGGATGCGGCGTTCCTGCTTCTCCCTGCTGTGCTCCATGCTGTCCAGGGTGCTCTCCAGCTTCCGCAGCTCCTCCCGGACTTGGCCAGGCAGCCCAACTTCTCCCTGCTGGGCCTGTGCTATCTGCTGCTGCACATCTCTCTTCTTTGCCGAAATCCTCTTTGTCTTTTGCTGGACAACAGATGGGTATAAATGTTACCTCTGAGCAGCTAAGCAGGACAGAAACACCTACAGTCTAAAAGAGGTACAGAAAGGTACAACCTCACTGCAGCATGGGCCCAAACTGTCTTTTAACAGTTAATGTGAACGGGGGCGCCTGGGTGGCTCAGTCGGTTAAGCGTCTGCCTTCAGCTCAGGTCATGGTCCCAGGGTCCTGGGATCGAGTCCCCCGTTGGGCTCCTTGCTCAGTGGGCAGTGGGGAGTCTGCTTGTCCCTCTCTCTCTCCCTTTTTCCCCACCCCTGCTCATGCTCTCTCTCTCTCAAATAAATAAATAAATAAAAATTTTTTTAAAAAGTTAATGTGAACAGTTAAAATGGGGGCTCTATGTTGGTCAAAATGGGCGTTATTTACGAATATTTTGTTTTTAATGGTAAACAACATAATTAATTTGATATTGGTGTTTTAACTGCATGCAAATTTAGACATTTAGCATTTTGTGTAATACTCCAGAAGGAATTTGACAAAACTATTTATTTGACAGGATTCTCCTTCAAGAATTATTTCTGCATAAAAACATGAAGTCCTAACTCTAATTTTTTTTTATCATTTATGCTGTAAAAATGCTGATACTAAGAGATTTAATTCCTGGGTATATTCAGAATGATAAACCTGCTGAGATATATGGGGAAAGTTGTTTTAAAATAAACTGTTTATTGAAGTATAATGTATAAACAATGGTAGACAAATCTCAGGTGTATACCATATGAATTTTCACAAAGTAAACACAGACATATAACCAAGTACCCGGTCCAAGAACTGTGAAGAGTTTTAAAATATTAATGTAAATATCTGTAATTACATATTTCTCTGACTTAGATAAACCCAAACACAACTTTTACAATGATTGAGAACAATGTAATACCAAGCATTAATTTTTTGGGCCCATAGTCTTTTTATAATTATTAAATAAATCTGTAAAGCCTAGAGGCTGCTCTCTTACATACACTTTTAATGCCACTTCCATGTTTATATACTATTACATATAAAATTAGCTAGCATTTTGCTATACATTATGTTAGCTAGAATTCTGTTGTTAAAATATTTGATTTGAAATCATACTTCTACTTATATTGAGTTTGGCAAGTAAGTTGGTTAAAATTGTTTATTATCAATACATGTACCAAAATTTCTTTATTTCCAGTTCTAATCCTTCATAAGAGCATACTATCCTGAAAGGTCTGGTACTTCATGTAAGTTATAATTTTCCAAACTGAGATATATTTGAAGTTGTAAATTGAAGAGCAGGATTTTAACATAATAACAAAGAACAGTGATCTCAAATATGGAGCATTTTATCTCTACGCTTTCTTCCTCTGTGACAAAAAAGACAAATGAGCTAGTTTTATGAAGGTTTTCATAGCTAAATCAACTTTTTCTCCATAATATTCCTTCAACTTTTTAATAGCATCAAATTACTCAGGCTGAGAATTTATCTTACAGGCTCTTCTGAAATAGCTAATATTTAACAGAGAACAGAGGTCACCTGGACTCCTCCCTGCATCCCCCCCCTCCCTTTGTCCTTACTCTTGGACATACAGTTCTCTTCACTTCTCTGGTTCTGCCAGTGACTAACGAACTTTGCATAAGTACTCTGGGGAAGGGCATCCTACCTGGTGATGAAGAAGTAACTGCTGTGCTTCAAACAAATTTTCAGTGTCCAGGATCTTCTCAGCCTGCTCCTGGACTTCTTTAGAGCCAGAAATTAACTCTTCAAGGGAACTTTTCACTATTTCTTTGTACTGGACACAGTCCCCAAAGTTGCTTAACATCTTTTCAACCTAGATTTTCATGAAAAAATTATAACTCATATAATGCTCAGGTAATCTTAAATATTCTAAGAATATGTGTAAAGTCCATCTCAGTAACTTGAAATATATACCCAGATCTCTTTTATGTTTTCTTATATTTTTGAGGTTTATTTAGTTATTATTAAACTGCACACCCATTTATGGGAATCGCAAGCCTCATGCTCCGTGCCCACTCAACCCGGTAGTCAAAGCAGGATAACGAAAGTGGTTATACTGTATATTTTATTTCCTGGATCCCTTTAATGACAGTCCCATGACTAAAATTCAATCACAAATTATAAAAATGCAGTGTAATAAAGCTGAGTCCACCCTGTTTAAAGTAAGTAAGGAAAAAATTGTGGAGGGGAAAAAATTAAAAGAATAAAGAGTATTTGTTAAAAAATGCACTTCCAATATTTTTACATAAAACACAATATAATTGCTAATTTTGTGGTTCTTTAGTGAATTCTTTTCCCTGAATTTTCTATCTCATTTCTGCTTCCTCTAGTCTATGTTTTAAGTGTGTGTGTGTGTGTGTGTGTGTGTGTGTGTGTGTGTAACAAAATATAAACTCATCTATCAATGTGACTGAAACTATTTGTTAAGTCTTGGATCAAAGATCACCTGCATGTACATTTACTTTTTAAAACTGTAATCCTAACTTTTCTCCTTACCTTCTTGATCAAAAAAAGAGTAGAGAAGAATGATGTCAGAATTTTACTTAAACTATGGTAGTGGCTATGCTACCTGGACTATTGCTATGAAAGATGGATATCAAAGGATTGAAATAACTCATGTTCCAAAATTTGATTAATCCTATCACTATTTTCATTTTGTCAAAATTGTTAAGAAAAATACATAATATCAAAATTCATACATAAAATTAAAATCACATGCAGTTTAGAGTACTTTTGGCTTATGTAAATTCACTGCTAGAGTCTTAAGTGGATCTACATGCATTCAAAACATAAAAGGTTAATTGACCAAACTGTTAGATTAGGGACATCTCCAGAGAATTCCAAATCTTCAGAATCAGGGAACTTTAAATAATCTAGGTGACCATTTTTCCATGCAAGTTCATAAATGATTTCAAGAAATAATGGTAGCTATTTTCAACTTTCCATTCTTATGTTATCTTCCCATGCACAGACTCTTTAGACATGCATGACAACCTGGTCGGTAAAAATGTGTCACCAAGGGTAGAAGGGGCATACTAGAAATGAAGTAAATAGGTTTGTGTATTTTAATCCATAGAGGAATATAAACACTGAAATATATATCAAGAGGCTTAAAATGAGTAAGTCTTTCATAAAATAGATTTTACTGTCTGCTAACATTGAATATTTTATTATTACCAACTATCGGTTATTAAGCATTCACTCTCAAGCACTAAGTGCTTTACATATATTATTGCATTTTGGGGGTAAGTTTTTCTAGCTCTGTTTTGTAAGTAAGAAAATCAAAACCCAGAGATGTGAAGTGACAAGCTCAAGATTATGTAGGAAGTGGGCTCTCAGAGTTAAATTGTAACTCTGGGTTCATTTGACTCCCAAGCCTATGTTCTTAACCTCCATAATATACCTTCAACTGACCATGAAACAATGCTTTCAGTAAGAGTAAAAAGTGTGGATCTGGTAAGCTTTGTACTTAAATATAGGTTGTTATTCTGAACTAACATATCCAATAATGGCACAGACCATAACTCAAACACCTTCCCCACCAATCTTCATATGAATAAGTATCTTAACTATTGTGTTTGAACTATACTTTCTTTATATAATTACTTCTTAAGTCACAACCAAAAGAAAAAGAACCCTCCAGATTCCTCACCCAAAACTATTTAGAGTGTGAGTAAATGGTATACCTCTGACAACAAAGCTACAAGAGCCTTGAAAGAACTAGATAATTTTGCCAGCTCATCTCCTTGCTTTTGGGCTTCATTCTCAGAAGAAACTTCAATTAAAATTTTAAGCCTGGATTTCAGCCAGTTGAGAGTCTCGCCTTTTGTGGTAACACCATTTCTGATCTCCTGGAATGAAGAGAATACATTGTGAATCAAGAACGGACTCGGACTAAGAAAGTTCATATGGTTGAGGTGGGAGAGTCATTCATTCACCAGTAGAGTGCCTGCTTATTTTACTTTTTGTTCACATCTTTAACAAAAGTCTACAAGTGCTAGAAAAAAATATTTCCCCAATGCCAATACCTGATATGTAAAATCAATACTCTCTATATCAAAAAGCTAACTAGATGGTTAGGTCATAATTAGATGGTTAGATATTTACAGATAGTCCCTTGATCACAAATAAAGGTGCCTCTAAAAGTACTGTAGAAGAAAATGGGATACCAAAATTGGGAACTGTAACACATTTTATTTTCTATTAGCTGGAAGGAACATGGTATTTTTAGAAAAAAAAGGTTGAAAGAGTCCTTTTTTTAGTGAGTGGATTTCTTTTTTTTTTTTTGAAGAGTTTAGTTGTTGAATATTATTATGGATGCCCTAAAAATTGATCTTTATTAACTTATATTTTATGTCTCATTTTTGTTAGCTTTTGGAAGTCAATAACCCACATGGTAAGATGTGCAAACAGGAGCACAACTCTAATCCGGGAAGGGAGGGTATACTGACCCGGACAATGCCAGAAAGATTCTGGGGCCTCAGCCCTTGCAAGGTCTGGAAACTGTGGGAATGCTGACTGGGGCAACCTCTTGCTCCTACACAGCTCTGGGAAGCACAGGGAAACCATGCAGCTGCTACAGAGGATCTCATAGGGTAAATTCACATCCAATGGTTCCAGAACCAAGTGATCTCTTCATTTTAAGATATGCATTTTGTTTTTGTAATGTAACAGCAACAAAGAGCAAATATAAATATCCTTCTATAGGTATAGCATGATATTATTGAGCATCTCTAGTATTTAATGGGATTATAAATTTAAGAGAAAAACATGAAACTCAGAGGATAGGAATAGAAAGGAAATATATTCTCATTAACAGAAACTACGTGACTTGCAAGAGTTCAAAATGCTCAAAGATGGGGCGCCTGGGTGGCTCAGTCATTAAGCGTCTGCCTTCGGCTCAGGTCATGGTCCCAGGGTCCTGGGATCGAGCCCCGCATCAGGCTCCCTGCTCAGTGGGGAGCCTGCTTCTCCCTCTCCCACGCCCCCTGCTTGTATTCCCACTCTCGCTGTCTCTCTCTGTCAAATAAATAAATAAAATCTTTAAAAAAAAATGCTCAAAGATAAGGATTTTCGCAATGGCACGTGGCTACAAAACAGCAGAGCCACACTAAGAAGGAGAGGGTTGCTGTGTGTCATTCACAGAATGTGAACTGGGTTCAGGCTTGAGGTTCTGTCACCTGGCTAGGTTTATCAGGCTGTGCCCATGCTCCCAGAGCTGATCAATCCAGACTGAATGTGACATAGAAATGAGACTTAAAGACCTTTCCCAATTCTGTGATTGGGCTTTTGAATGGCTGAAAATGTATAAAAACCCACAGTATTCTTGTTTTCCATGACAATTCTTAAATCTCTGCTGTGTTGTATGCCCATGCAGGCAAATTTTCCTCTCAGGATTTTCCATTAGCTACAGATCTATGAGAGGTACCACTAAGCATGACTAAATCTCAACGCTAACAATGATTCAATAGGGAAAATCATCCCCTATTCTTCTTCACAGTAACATAAGGAGATTTACTCTTAAGACAGTTTTTCAGTAATTTAATTTTTTTACAGAAAGAAAAGAATATATCAGTTAGTCTGTCTACCATTAATTTTTTCATTAATGAAAAATATGGACGAGAACTAACCTCTACAGCACATTTAATCTCTCCATGGTTGGCAGTACTGAAGGGTTCACTCTTAAACCCTTTCAACTGTGTCTCCTTTGCAGATATCCAAGATGAGAACTTAGAAATTCTGAAATAACACAAGTATTTTCTTATTAAGGGGAGAAAATATCCCAGTGGTTAAAATACATTTTCTATTTTGAATTTATTCATGGAAATCTAGCAATCAACTGATTAGCAAGTCAATTAACAAATTTTCTGGAAACTGTTCCTTTAACATGAAGTTCAGGACAGGGGTGGCTGCCTCTGAACTGTCACTTGGAGGAAAGAGAAAGCAGAGCAGATGGAGCTCAGCTAAGGAAAAAGGTGTGTTCCCAGGGCCTGAGCACCTGGGAATACGGAAGGCACCACCTGAGGTCTGGCCTCATCTATCTCCACTGGACTGAGACAGAAACCCAGAGGCAGAAGTCTTCCCTCTGGGGATATGAGGAAATCAGGGAGAAAGGAACTGCCAAATGTCCTTCAAAAAGGTAACATCTGGGTCCCTGGGAAATAGAATGCTTCACCTTGTTTCTGACTGAAACCCATTCTTTTTATTAAATGAAGCATTTTTATATTAAGAGCATGGGCAAGATCATACAATCTGATTTTCTTTATTGCTTCAGAGGAAACACACGTCACTTCTTGTCATGCAATGATCTCCGAATTAACAGTATTAGGACAGACAGTGTCCATCTCTGGAAGCAGTTCCACAACTACCTGCTAGTGTAGTCCTTCCACTTGTCTGGGTCTTCCATGAGCTTCATGTAGGTGGTATCAATGGTAGCTCTGAGCTCTTTGAGAGTCGCATGACAGGTTTCAGGTGTGTTCCTTACTGGGTCCCGGACTGGGAGTTTCAGACACAGTTCTTCAATAAGCTGCAACCTTTTCTCACAAAGATGATGAGGACCTTTGTCACTGAAGAAAATCTAATGAGCAATAAACATTGATATAATCCCTGTGAAAATCCATACAATACTTCCATATTTTCATAGAAGATTCCCATTTAGTCTACTAGTATATAGTAATTAAGCTATTTAGTGTTTTTGGACCCAAACCAAAGTATCAGGTATGTATCTTTTAGGTAAAAATGTGACTTTGCATGCCTGCACTTGGGGTGTGTGAGACGTACCCTGTGCTCTTTAATGATCTTTTCACTGCCTTCCTGGGGCACCAGCTTGGTCTCTCGATCCAGCTCAGTTCTGCATTCTTCTACAGAAGCTAAGAATCTATTCTTCTCCACATCAATCTTCAGATGAAGCAAATGATATGGGGCTTCTCCTTGAAGATCCTACATTCCATAGGAAGATTCAAAAAAAATATGATACCATTCCAGATTATATACATTTCTAATCGGAGTGGCAAAAACCATAAAATATTCCCTTTGGGGCCAATGTGATTTAATCACTATTGTCTGCACCTGGATGCTATGCTTTGTACTTTTCCAAGTAGTGGGACCGCAATGAATTCTTTCAGCCTGCGGGGTCAGATTTTTCACAGTAATTATTCTATTTAATTTTTACTATAGCTCCACACAGTATTAATATTCCTATTTCACAAATTAGACCACTGAGGCTCAGGGGTAATTAGAAAAGCTAGATTTGAATCTAAACTTAAATGATGCACTGATTCCACATACCCTCTCCCTGGCATATGTCCCTTTTAATTTTGTCAACGACCCTGGGAGGTAGGAAGAACATAGTTATACTCACTACACGAAGGGCAAAGAGAAAACTTTATTAGTAAAGAGGCCAGATCAAATGGCCCATGCCTTTGACCACCTGCCTTGCCCTTTTCCCTTAGCGCATTCCTTGAGAAAACAAGCCAGCAGCATGCAAACATGAAATGTTTTATGTTCTTTTTTGATATATAATCATAAGCTACATCATTACCTTCAGTCCTACAATTTATTAATTTTAGCCAGCTTGTATCCTATGGCATTTAAAAGGTTACTTTTAAAAATAAAATACTAAGATAACAGATAAGAAAATGATTTGAGGCTATGGAAAGACTAGAACAGATTATATCCTAGATTGTATCCTTGAGAGCTTAATGAGAGTTTGTGTGTATATATAAAATAAATACAGCTTTCCATTATTCCATTAGAATCTCTATTCCATAATACATTTATGATATGTTAAGCTTTAAAGACATCTTCAAAAAGCTTGGGTTTCTTTAAGAATCTTTTTCTAGTTTTTATATTTAGCAAATAAAATATGTCCTTAACTGTGTTTTTCCTATGCTTGGGGATGATTTTTTTTAGCCTATGTTACTGAGATGAAAAAAAAAATCGAGAGAATAACAAAAGCTGATGGAGAGTATCTTAGCTGCCTACCTGCCAGATCCCGTGACTTCTTCATATAATACACATGAAGTTCGCCACTAGCTATTACCTTGTGATAGCACTCGTTAACCTGCTGCTGGAGCAGGCTTCCTCCAGCCTGGCTTGAGCAAGACAGCCCTTGGGTGGGTCTCCACTGTACTGCAGCTGCCCCCTGGCATGCGGATTCTAGAGTCGGCTTCCTTGTGACAAGCCCAGTGTGGGGCACTCAAGTTAGACCAGCCAAAGGAATCCCTACGTCCCCCAGTCGAGTGCTGTCCTGCTGTCTCTCTTCCAGGTGCTAGTATTTCCCCCTCCCACCCACTTCCAGATCTCTGCTGCTTCTTTAAAATCCTAAAACAAAAACTAGTTACTTGATTCACTCCTTTCCACTCTCCAAGTGGGCCCACTTCTCTCTTCCAAAGCTTTCATGAGCATTAACTATACTTTTGGGTATTTACATATTATACTTTCATTATCTGCAACTAATTATCTCCCCTGCTGGGCTCTAAAGTCTTTGGAGAAATGGACTGTGCTTCGTTCATCCCTGAGTCCTTAACCAATAAGTGTTTGTATTTATATTTTTTAGACCATAACAATCTAAACCAGATGGTAAAATCCTTGAAAAGAGCAAAATGTTAGTATGCCTAATGTAATTTACTTAGATGAGAAGAGCTTACTAAATGTTACCGAATTAAATGCCCTTGTCATTCCTACCCCCAAAAATACTCAGGAAAAGAAAAAGAGCACTCTTAAGTAATATGATAAAATCAATGCTACTAAAAAAATAAGAAAAACAAAATCGTATCATATTTTATCATTGTTTTATTTGTTTGGTTTTTTTAAATGGGAGAAGTACCTGTGGTGATTTTCCATAAATTTCTCTTATAATCGAACCTTAACACCCTCATGCTCTCTCCCATCATGCATGGCACCTACTTATGTGTGTGTTCCCATGATGTCCTGACTCACCTTCCACTGTTTATGGAGCTTTCTAACGGCTTCCTGCAGGCCCTGCTGTTCCTGCTCAGGGAGAATGTCGGTGAGCTCGTCGCAAGCTTTCAGGAAAGCATTGAGCACTCTCTGATCCAGCTGACTGAAAAACTCCTGGCACGGAGAGGAGGGAAGTGGTTAAGAGTGTCGGGAAGAATAAAAGGCAGCATCAGACACTCTGCAGTTAAGCAGTCACACCTCTACATGAGTCCCTCAGCCAGCTGCTGCCCTCTTCAAACCTTCCTGGCAACTACTTTTTTTTTTTTCAGGAATGAACTATAATTATCTACAGTTATGAGTCAGAAGCCACCACATCTGAAATTCAACTAGTGCTTTTCATTTTTTAGGAAAAAAAAAATCTTTTCAGCTTTCAAATTTGGTAGACTATTCCAGAAGGCCAAGGGGCCTAAAACCTTGATTCCATAGTAAAAGAGTTTTCATTCCTCTTCGGTGAAGTCAGAAGAGCAGAACAGAAGCTAGCGTTTAGTCTCACAATTCCTCATACCCTAATATAATGGGTTTCAGGCACTGCTGATTCATTATGAGCCATTTCTACATTCAGACAAGTACACACATGGCCCCACAAACTATGGACAGAATTGTGCTTCCCACTCCTCCCCAAATTTATATGTTGAATCCCTAACCCACAATGTGATGATATTTGGAGTTGAAGCCATTGGGGTAATTAGGTTAAATGAGGTCACGAGGGTAGGTCCCTCATGATGGAATTAGTGCCCTTATAACAAGAGACATCAAAGGCCTTGCTCCCTATGTATCTCTGCCTTATGAGAACACAGTGACAAGGCGACCATCCACAAGCCAGGAAGAGAGTCCTCACCAAACCCAACCATGCTAGTACTCTGACCTCAGACCTATAGTCTCCAGAACTGTGAGAAAATAAATGCCTGTGGCTGCAGCCACCCAACCTGTATATATTTATATGGTGGTCCAAACAGACCCAAACAGCACATGTGCACCTATATGCATAACCAAGTCTCACACAGACTCAGGAGGATATATGCGGAGATATTTTGAAACAACAGTGGTTCAAAACAGAAAGGGTCACACTGCAGCAAAAGTATCAACTGAAGGAGATGCTAAGTGGTCACAGACATCAACCCTAAGTTCAGTCAGCTACATCACAAATACATTGCAGTCATCATCTGATAGTGTGGTTTATACCAATATCCACTGAAATTTCATGAAACATAAAATACATGATCTCAGAGGGCCCATCATCTCCATACAGCATTTAAGAGATTACTAACATTTTCAATACTTATGTGATTTAAATGAGTATGATTAACAGGAAGATGACTTCACAAGAGGACAAGTTGTGGATCAGCTACCAAACTTCAAGTGACACGGTATTCACACTTCGATATGGCGGGTTCATGAAATGAGCACAAAGACTTAGCCATCCACCTTAAAATTATCTCTTAAAAAGAATATGTTGGTTATGTAAGAATTTCTCAGCTAAAATAATTCAGGAGAGCCTCATTATATATCCAATAACTCTACCATTTTAGGGGCTTAAGAATGGCCAATTATAATGCAGTTCATCAATTGCTCCTGAAGTTTTTTTGCTGCTGCCACTTTTTGGGTCTAATAACCTAAAATGTTTCTGCCTTCCTAACTCACCTCTTCTTCCCCCCGCCTCAAAAACTTAGTATTAGAACAGAATGTTCTTTTTATTTTTCACTCAAGACCACTGGTCCGTGTCCTCAGGTCAAGTGCCCCATGAGGGACAAACTCACGGTATGTCTCTTCAGGAGGTCTTCTGGGTTTCCCTTTTCCTCCAGGCCCTCCTGAGCGATCCGCAGCACCTTCTCTAACTCTGCTCGAGACTCCTCGAATTTTTTCATCAAGCGACTATTAGTTTCCACATGTTTCTTCCAGTCTCCAATTTTCTTCACCATATTCTTGATTTAAAAAATAATGCCAATGTGATGCTGCTCTCTCATTATTGAAAACATCATTTTGTTAAAGAGTATTGTTTCTTTAAAAAAAAAACACTAGGAAGGAATATGTTTCATTATGATGAGAGTAATCAACTTCTTTTGACATTAATGAGTATCAGAAAAAGAAGAAGTAAAATGATTGGTTCCAAACCTCAGTAGGCGAGGCACTTAGCCTCATTTAGCCGTGAGAATTACATACCCTAGTCCTTTAATTTTCCTTGGCTTATGTTTCTATAGCAGGGAGAAAGCTTACCTGGAAAGCACCATGGACATCTGCAACCTGTCTGTGCAGCTTTGTCTGATCAAAGTGCTTTAACAAACTGCTCAAGGTCACGAACTTTTGAACACTTTGACTGCCTTTCTCAATTTGTGTCATGGTTTTCTTACAGCTTTCTTGACAAGCTGACAGTTCCTACAGGGAAAGGAAACCCACAACAATAGTATTTAAAAGGGTGAGAAAGAGAGGGAAAGAGAATAACCATTACAAAACAATAAGAACAACACTATATAGCTTTTAGGCTTTTAGCCAGCTGTAAGTAAAATCAAAAGTACAGAGAAGTGTTTCTTTTCATTGAGAAGAGCTCAATTCTAAGCAATCACTGAAGTCAGTGTTTTTTTATATAAGGCATTTAAATGTCACATTGAGTTTTTTGAGATTTTTTTAAAATTCCATGCCTGTGTTATTAAGAAAATGAAAGGCCATCAAAATTGTTATTTGCCTGCAAAAATGTTATTTGTCCAACTCACAGGCCTATGATTTATTGAGAGAACAATCCCAAAATCAATCAACATATTAGGTTTTAATCTAACTAAATAAATACCAATGCACATACTTTGCTGAAAGAGCTGCAGCAAATTATATATTATTTGTGTATGCCAAAATGTACAACACTTGAATTCCTAAGGTTCATAAGCTGTCAACCTCATTAACAAAATGGTGGACCTCAGATACTAACCACAAAAGGCAGCAGACCGGTTGGTATGGGAGGACTTGCAGTTGTCACACATTGGCAGGATGAGAAACCATGGTGACCCAGGCCCTCCCTCCTCTGCTTAGTAACCTAGCATCATAGTGATTTCTGCAATTGACAGCAGAATTATCGAGCCCAGCCCAAGGCCAACAGTCATTTTTTGACCTGAAGCTGTACTATTTGCATTTCGACACACTCAACAGCTTGGAAAAGTATTTCAAACTGCTCATTTGGATACCAGTTTTGGTAATCTAGAGGCAAATATTAAGACCAAGGCTTTGTTTGTTTTGAAAAAAACGAAGTAAGGACATATTTTTCCTTTTGAAGATTCAGGACATAAAAGAGTAATATATGTTAGAAAGATATTATTAAATATTATTAATATTATTATTACTAAGATATCAAATGTTATTTTAATTGTGGAAGGATTCTTTGATGGCAATTTATAGCAATTTGAGAATACAAGAAATGGCACTGTAACTCAAAGTGAAAGATAATCTTTATCCAATATGATGAAAATCCACTAGAATAGGGTTTGGTGGTATAAGCATTGTGGTTTTACTATCAGTAATAGTAAAAAAAAATAATAATAATTGCTACCAGTTATAGAGTACATGCTATATGCCACTATGTGCTAGTTCCATTATGGAATATGTAATGGAATCACCAAAATAAGCTCTCAACTTACGTATTATCATCATCTGCATTTTAAGGTGAGGAAATAAAAGCTAATCAAGTCTTTGTAATTTGTTATATCAGATCTAAGATCTGAATACCTGTCTGACTCACTTCAGATACTCTCTGTTCTTTCTGCTAAGTGATGCTACCTTCCTTCCAGGAATCTGTTTCAGTGAATGCAGTGGTGAACCATTTGCCCATTAAGTTTCACACTCCTCTGATGGATAGGGTCATTTATAATAAACCACCTTAAATAAGTCAATTAGCTGCAAGAGTGGGAAGCTGTTCTGCATAGAGATCTGTTTATAAAAACTGAGACCAAAAAAATGATTATCACTCCAAACACATTTCCAGAATTTTATGATTGTGTAATCAGACTTAATCTTAGAGGCAAAGAAAAGATCTCATAAGACAGTTTACAGACACTGGATAGAAACAGAATGCAACTATTTGCTTTTATATATCTAAATATCTAAAATTTGAAATTTATTTATAAAAATGTTATCTCTATATAAATTTAGATAGATAAAATTTTCATTTTATCGTTAGTGGACAGGGGTTTCGTCTTTGGACAGATGTATATTTTTGTTTTGAGATGCCAGTGCTATTCTATTTTTTTTAAAGATTTTATTTATTTATTTATTTGAGAGACAGAGGGAGAGTGAGAAGCAGACTCCCTGCTGAGCAGGGAGCCTAATGATGCTGGGCTCAGTGACAGGACATTGGGATCATGACCTAAGCCAAAGGCAGACACTTTAACGACTGAGCCACCCAGGCACCCCTGGATGCCAACGCTATTCTAGAAAAATGTTTCCTGTCCTAACCGAATTTCTACCACTATAAGCACCACCTCAGTTTTACTACGCATGCTTTAAAATAACTATGTCTCCTCAAGAGGACTTCTCCTTACCTGTTGTTTCTGTTTAAAAAGAGCACTAGATTGTGCCTCATGCTCAAGAACTGTTAAAATTTCATTGATTTTCCCAAGTGAGTCATAAAAGAGTGTCATCTGCTTTTCTAATTCTTCCAATGGTATCAACAGCTGTCGAGACTCATAAAGGAGTGGAGGGTGACATTCTTTGACCTTTAAAAATACAGAGACAAAAATTCTATTAAAGGCCACTGATTACCACAAACTCAGGGCACTGTTCACAGTTCTTGGGAACATTTTCTTCAGTGATATTGTCATCTGGTGCTTGCAGATCTTCAAAGACCTTTATTTAATGATATTTCCTATGTATTGTTAAATTTTGATATAAAAAACAATACTACTGAGACAAATAAATGCTACAGAGTTTTCCCATGAAGATTCATCTAAACTGTCCATCTGGATAGCACTTTCCCATCTAAACAATGTTGTTGGTGAGCCAGATGGCATCAAATTCCACCTCATAAACTATGCAGCTCATCTTCACTTCGGCCTCAAAATCTGACCTGAGATAGTTGTGAATTACATTATCCAGACTAACCTTCCAACTTTATTTTCAAGGTCTCTACTACTTGGACCCTTAACTCCAGACAAAGCTGTAACTTTGTTGACTCATTCTTCCCAGACAGGCCTTATTCTTCCCTACCGCTCCCACCTCTATGCTTCGCTACTCTCTGCCCATCATCTTACTCATCCCAAGTGCACAAGTCAGGTACCAATTTATTTACAAAAGTCCCCATGCCAGGGGATATCTTCCCAGTCTGAATTGACCCAGCCCTCATTTGTCACTTGTCTTTAAAAAAAATGCTGTTACTTTATACACTTGTATTCTTTATCTTAATGCTGAGGCCATACACTCCTGGGGATCAAGAGATCCATAAAGTTTCTGCCTTATCACTTTATGTTAGAATCCAGGACCAGGTCATTCTCTAAGAACTTCCTGTCCCCATTCATTTTACTTAGAATTGCTACCCAAATATTATTTGTACTTCTGGGAACCAAGGAAAGGAAATTGAGTCCTTGTTAGTTGACCATTCTCTTTTTTCTTAAATTATAAATATTCTCATGCTGTCAGATACCCTGCCTGAAGGATGAACTCCCCAAAAGAAAGCTACTGATCTACTACTGCAAGAAGGCTCTGCTAAAATGACTCTGAACAAAATGAAGAGAAACTGCTAATATGCATAAAAATCAAGTATGCTTTAGAAATCTTTCCTGGATACAGTTGAAAATTTAACTGAGATGCTACAACTAAAGTAGTAGTTTTAAAAAGCTGAACAACTTAGATGTGTTTACAGGTGGAATTTGCTTTCTCAGAGGTTGCCCCAAATCATTAAACTTGGCCTAGGCTAAGATATGCAAGCCCAAGATATGGTTCTAAAAGCTTGGTTATCAATTCAACAGCACTGACCTAGAATTGTGCCCAATCTCTATAAATAATCTTAACTTGAATATTAAAATAAAAAGAATTAGAAATTAACATTCTAATTTATACCAGTTTGGCAAATGAAGTTTTCTTTTTTTTTCAAGACCATGGTTCTTCCTATTTTCATCTATCTCATTTATTCCTCTTTACATTATTTTTCCACTACTGATTTCATGTAGGTTATCTCTCTCTGCTTTTTCCCTCCTAAATAACAGGTTTCTCTGCTTTCTTTTCCTCTGTTTCTCAAGTCTTCATTACAAAATTTTCCTCTTCATTTATATAGTCACTCCTTTCCTCTATCAGAAATTAATTACCCAATCACAAACAATACCATCTTCATAAAATTCAACTTCAGACAGATAAAAAATTCCAGTGGAACTTCCAAAGTTCTTAAGGAAGTCCCTCAACAGAATAGAAAAGTCTTATGGCTAGTACTTGATGTCCATGGAGTTCCCTATACACAAGTGGTAGAAATGTATAGATCTTAAGTCTAAGGTGAGCTCCATGAAATGAAGAGGGCAGAATTCTCCACTGCATAAATAATCTTAGAGCAGAGGGATGTCAAATAAAACTCAATAAAAGGGCATTTGGGAGTTCTTTCTCATTTAAATATCTGATCTCTTCCTCCTCCTTCCCCTTCCTTTTCTCCTCCCACCTTTGTTTTACCACATTTAACTGACCCCTTATTCCTCCAGAAGAGACTTATCTTTCTAATAAAGCTCCTAGTGTTTCTAAATTAACAGAGGTAATACTTGACATCAGATCCATAGTTTCAGTTTTAAAACTCATGACAAAGTTATTAAATGACAGAGTTACTAAATCAAGAATCCCAGGAAAAAGCAAAAGCATCTCTTAACAAGTAAAGAATCTGCCCATGGGTGTGACTGAGGAGGCGTAAAGCATGTTGAAGGCAGTGTTGGTCCCGCACAGTTGTCATGCATTAAAGTATTTTCCCACCTTGGTTAGCTGTTCTTTGAGCCTAGACATGGTTGCAAACATTTCATTAGCTTCCTCTTGGGAGCTCTCTTTGGTAATGAGGTGTGCAGTCTTTGTAATCATCTTGTATTGAGCATCCATTACAGGCACCCTCTGCTCAATGTCCTGCATGAATCATTGAAACAGCTAAATTAACACATGGTACATTTCCTTTTAATTTCAGGATTCCACAGAAGGTTAGACAAAAATCAGTATGTACTGTATAAAATCCTATACTTCTAATAAATTTTTGGAAATTCCAGTTATTACTTTCCTTTATTGCTAATATATTATATACTGGTAATATCACATGAATAGATAAAAGCTTTCCTTTAGAAGTAACCATAAATCCTTAAATTAACATACAGACAAGCTGAAGTAATCTGTACACTTTCAAAAATATATGTGTTAATGTAGTATGCAATCATTATAACAAGCAAATGCATGTTAATTTGGGGCAATTCCTCTGACCTTAACAATGATACAACTTACTTTTTCTTAAGAAAAGTAACACACTATCATAGTAGAAAATTTATAAATCAGAGATAATAAGAAAAAAATTAAATTACTTACAGTCTTCTTACACAGTGATAACCAGAGCCAACATCTCATCACTACATCATTAATGTTTTCCCCTGTGCATGCTTACACCCATTTTTTTATATTTACAAAAAAGGATACTATTTTTGGCTTTTCTCATTTAATAGTATATTAGAAAAGATTTCCATGTCATTAAATATTCTTTTACTACTTCATTTTTGAGAGCTGCAAGGTATTCAAAATATGTGAAGAGCACAATTCATTTAGTCAATACTTTATAGGAAAGGCATTTATGTAGAGGTGTCATCTGTAGATGTTTCCCGTTTTCTCCTAGTCCTTTGTAATTTGGTTGTAGAAAAAAATCTCTACATTAAAAAACTATTTTGAGGTTACTATTTGATCAAAACATATCCTTAAAAAATCCAAATAGATTTTTTATTTAAATGCATTTTTTTTTCAATTTTGAAGTGCTAACCAGGATATGTACACATGCCAAAATGGTGCCAAAGAGACATAGGTTTTACTTTGCAAGGATCTGGGTTAACTTCAGTGATCTTCCTTTTCCCAACAGAACAGGTTTTCACTTCCTTGTCCAGAAACTACCCCCTCACCTCCAAGTCTTGAATTAATAACTTGACATTAAGAAAAGAGACTTCTAAGGGTTCAGAAAGTTTCTTATGGGCTTCAGTTGCAAAATCAGACAGGACAGTAACACAGTCTGTGTACTCCTTCTTCATTCTGTCCGTTTCATCAGCCCGAGCATACTGTTAAGGAAAGGGAGGAGCACAACACGGAAAATCATTAAGGCAAACCTCTGGGAGCCTGTAACTTTGACGTTCACCTACTCTCTAGAATTGTTATATGGTAAGAAAGATGCTAATTTCTGACTCTTATTTTAGATACACTTGAAGTAAGTCCAATTACTGTGAAAGGAAAAAAGGAACTAGCACAGAAGCAAAGAATTATGATTTCAAACATGAGTCGTCCCCTATCTGTAGGCTCCATATGTCAACATACTCTTGAATCAAACTATACATTTCCATAATGTTCCTCTATTATAAATGGGAAAGAATAAAGGACCAAAAATAAGCATAACAGTTCTAAACACATCTATACTCTGCCTAAATAAGCCCATGCTACAACAATAAACAGTCTCTAAACAGACTGTTTATCACGTTTATAACACATGCATGTTCTAAGTATATAGAGATTGAAAGACATACTTGCTTGACTTCCATGAACAACTCCCTCCATCGCCCATTGAGCAATAGTAATTGCTGTTTAAGATCTCGGGAAACCATCTCATCACATGTTTCAATTAGAAAATTGCCCGCATCATTCATGGCAGTGTGCTGCTGTATCCAGTGAGGCAAATTTCGGAAAAAATCCTAAAAAATAAACAATGCACACTACTGTAAACCACAGACCAAAAATTAATAAATGATATGGAAGTAACCAAACTATGAGAAGTATCTTTGTTCTAAATTTGTACAAATTTTAAGGTAAATATTCGCTCTCCTTCCAAATGCAATTTTCAGTAAAGAGGTTCAAAAATAGGAACTAGAAATGCTGAGTGTCTTTTTATAAGAACAGCTTATATCTTTTACCATATATTTTGCTGAAAACAAAACAAAACATGATGGCCATTTTCTGTTATTCCTATTTTGCAAATTAAAAACTGAATTTCTGTAAGTGTAAGGGACTTGTACACAGTAAATACCAGTGCCAGAGTCATATAAAAGGTGTGGCATTTTAGAGTAATGTATAGTTTTGTTTAAAAATTATAAACAAACTTTTTTGAACTATCATTTTTTATTTTAAAATCTGAATATAGTACATGAAGATAATTAACAATCATGGACATAAATCATTGAAGGAAAATTTTTAAAAATTATATATCTGGGCCAAGAAGACTTAATACAATAACATCGTCTCTTATTTGTTTAAGGTTACGCACTTGGCAATGAAGCAGTTTTCTGCTGATTTCAAGTTAATATACGTGTACATGCATATACACACACACCACGGTAAAAACCAAGGATACCAAAGATAATTCAAAATCTATTTTATAAGCCATGTGTGGGAGGACGTCTCACATAAATAGATGAGAACACTTCTGTTTCTGGTGGTTATAGTCCCTTGGATGAAATTAACACATATGACATCTACTAGGGCACTGCCAGTCTAATCAGAAAAGCCAAAATCTGTATGGGTATACAGTTCTTATCATCCTCAGCTACACGAGAATAATTAATCTATGTGAAATATAGAGTGGTAAAGATTTAAAAATTATGCATCTACTTGCATAACACAATAATAGAAGAGCCAATCTTGGATAGCAAGCACTTAATTCTAATGTATTTACTATACTCTTTAATGGGAGCCTGGCATTTTTATATCTTTCACATAACATATAAACTGATTTTTCATGGGACAATATCAGATTCCCAGTAAGAAGTACATATAGAGAAATCAATCCATTTTATGTGATATTTTAATGTAAGTGACATTAAAGTAAAACAGTACCTCTTAAACCCTCACATACACACCTCTAATTGGAGGAAAAATATCACTCTTGCCCACTCTTGCCATTCTCAACCCTTGACTAAGGGCTGATAAAATCCAAAAAGGAATATCCAAAGAGACAAAAATGTGGTGACCCAGATGTCCAACTGGTGTGTGTCATTATGCAGAATCAATATTAAGTTATACTCTCCGAAATGAGGAAATCCACAGAGGTCAGGGCCCTTCACGTACAGACCTCATGGTGAGTAAAGTGACCTCTGCGGCCCCCTGGGTTTGGCTGTCCCTCCATAGGTTCCTGCTGTTCTGAATGCAAAAGCCAAACACTGAACTGATCAGAGAGGGAACTGTTTTAACATAACTTCTGTAAAGCAGTGTATTTCTTGGCCTAAAATAATTTACTAACCCGAGAGCACAACTCTTGAGGTAATGCCAAGAATCGTGAGTCACATTTGCAAATATATAACACTCCCTAGAGACCTATGCTGTGTCTCATTGCTAAGTTCGTGTATACTCCTTTCCTGTGGTAAGAGCAATCTTACCTTTTTGGCATGCTCTGACTGATTTAGCATTTTCTCTGCATCCTCTAACCAGGCCTGAAGACTGGCCACAGTATTGCCATATCGATCCCAGTTAGCGATTACTTCTTCCAGCATGCTCCGCACGCTCCTAACTTCTACTGAGAGGTTCCTCCACTGGGCAGTGGTTTCGTTCATGAATTTCATCACATTCTCGGCTTCTTCCACTAAAAACGGATACGACAAATTATAATTCTTACTTTATATTTTAAATCCACCAAGCCTTTTCTCTATGGTCTATACACTGGTGTGCAACTATAATTCTTCTTTAAAGATTTTTTTTAAGATTTTATTTATTTATTTGACAGAGAGAGAGACACAGCGAGAGAGGGACACAAGCAGGGGGAGTGGGAGAGGGAGAAGCAGGCTCCTCGTTGAGCAGGGAGCCCGATGTGGGGCTCGATCATGACCTGAGCCAAAGGCAGCTGTTTAACCGACTGAGCCACTCAGGCACCCCTATAATTCTTCTTTAGATTATAAAGTTAAAAGATGAAATGTTAGAATTTCATTCAGCTAATGCTGGGTATGTTGTACCATATTCACAGGTATTTATAAAGATTAAAAATAATATATTTAAATTTTTTGATAAACAGGATGCAATAAGTGACATATGTATTTTTTTGCATTTTATATGCACTTAAATAGATGGTCACATATATAGTATCAATCACAAATGCTACAGTTCATTTTCAGCAAATATGACAGACATATTTACAAAATGAAGCAAACATATTTTACAACTTGTGTCTTCACACTAACTTAAGTTTTCATTTACTTGACAGTAATATTCAAGTTACTTTTTTTCATTTAATCCTCAGAATTGAAAGTAGGTTAGAAAATTGCAATTTAGAAAAGGAATGCTTTTTTTTTTTTTTTTTGCCCCTTCTCAGAAGATCACACACATAGACATGCACACACACACACAGTATGATTATACAGGGCAGAGAGGCATTGCACAAAGTCAAGGGGACTGAAGCCAATAGGTGCATTCCAGGCCCATGGCAGGGTCACAGAAAGATTCTGCAAGAAAAAAAAAATGAGCCGATCACAGAAATCTGTAGGTTCTAAACCATACTGCATTCAACAGTTCAGCCAATTCTATCATGTGTTTTACCTGAACCGTCAGCTTGGACATACATCTCTGCTGTCTGTTTCAAGATCTGGTATGTCACTTCATACTGTTCAAAGAACTTGGTATTTTCTATAAAAGACTAGAAAGGGGGAGTGGTTAGAAGACGGCAAACACCAGGCATAGGTAGAAATACCAAAGTCCGTTTCTTCAAGAGAGATATATAGGTATTTTGCCCAAATTTACCAGCCTCACTCTTGTAAAATATAGCAAATTAGTTCAACTGTTACAAAATAACCCAGCTATTCTGAGAATATAAATTGATTCCACACTCACTTTTAATTCTAACTCAGCACTATTGAGAAAGTATTCTATTTCTTCTCCACGCAAGGGTTTGTTTTTAGAAGGGACTGAAGTCTCTCCAGACAACCTGGGGCTAACATTTAGGAAGCACTAAATTTGGAAGAACATTTTCATGTCCAACTGTGTTTGAGCTGTGGGATTTTGTTGCTCTTTGAACATTAATTCTGGTGAATGATGGCTCTGAGGAACTTGGATTATAAATAAATGGCACAGTGCACACTTTTCTTAAAATAAAAAGTACAAAAATATTTAAAAGTAGAAAAATTTTAAATAATCACATATCCCACCCACAAGTGTAAAAATTACAGATAAGACATGTCTATAGTTGTATGTAATTTACATATGTAACAGAGCCACCATCAGCAAATGGGCACTATAAAATTTAGAACACACAAGAAATCCTTAGGTAAATTTTATTGTTAACTCCAGGAAATATGAAATAACTCCTGTTTCGAAGATTAGTCCTGCTATGGTAAAGGAAAAAAAAATGCAATCATAGTTACCAACATATCACCAAAGGCTCTTTAATTTCTTTTAATAGTACAATTAGTTCCTATGATAACCCAATAAAATACTTGGTAAGTGTCTCTATTACAAAATGCAAAATTAGCCTTTAGAAAGCAGCTGAAGTCCAGTGTGATATGCTGATGAATACTTAATATGGAGATGCAAAATGTTTGAGTGCAGATATAAAACTTCATAATTTCATAGACATCCCTCAATTTTACTGATAAATTTTTATTATATTTCAAGATAACACTTAAAAACATTCCACGTATAATACATTTCATAGCATTTTATGTTTATAAAGCATTTTACCTATATATAAATTATTCTTCAGGAATATAGTGACTAGGGAAAGCTGTGAGTTACCTGGAATGAAGGGTTCCACGAGGAACACTTATTTCAATAATTTAACAGGCTGTATTATTTTGTAAGTAAAATAATAAATTGGCTAATTAATTATTTAGCCTTATGTTCTACTCCCTTAACCTCCCTGTTCCCCAACTAGGGAAAGGTAATTTACTATAATTTAAATTTGGAATAATTTAACCAAATGAGCATATCATAATTTGATCAAAAAAGGAAAGTTACACCTAATGTGCAAGACACTGTAGACAAATGAAGAGATAAATATATTTGGCAATGTTTAAAAAAATAGTCTCCATTTATTTTTGGAACAAATTTCAAGAAGCTAATGGGGAAAACAATTCTAAGTGTGAGAGGAAAGGGAAATAGTGGCTGTATTGGACAGAAAGACTTCATTTAACATGCTTTTGCTAGAATTGTTTACAAATTAACTACAAATGAAGAGAGGAAAGTTTATTTCCAGTTTTATTTCCAAGGGGAAAAACAGGATACTTTAAGAATATTATAAATGTTGTAGGGATTCATTAAAGTATTTTTGAGCCTTCCTATTAGGAAGACTAGGCAATTAATTTTTGAAGGAAGATACCTTATTTGTTATTTTACCTTTTAACTGGTTCATTTATTTTGACACTTTTTTCTTTCTGAATACAGAGTAAATCCATTTCATAGCATGAATTATTTTATCTATTAATATCACTTTGCCAGGAGGAGTGCTAAATCTCCTTTTTACCATGAGCTAACTAGTCTCTCAGAAGGGTGCAGAAGAAAATGCAAATGAATATTTAAAATAATGAAGGATTAATTTATTTCTTTAAAAATAAGACTTACAGGGCACCTGGGTGGCTCAGTTAAGGCTCTGCCTTCAGCTCAGGTCATGATCCCAGAGTCCTGGGATGGAGCTCCACTTCGGGCTCCCTGCTCTGCAGGGACTCTGCTTCTCCCTCTCCCATTGCCCATCCCCTCTGCTCCAGCTATCTCTCTCTCTCTCAAATAAATAAAATCTTTAAAGTAAAGAACTATATAATTATAAAAAAATAAAAATAAGGCTTAAATTTGGATATCAATTTCAACAAGTCAGCCATGTTATAGTTGATGGCCCTTCAAGAAAATAAGATATCTCTTTATCCCACTAAATCCAAAGTATTAGTGGAAGATACTAAACTTCTCTCACCAGATAAATATAGAGATAAACAAATTTAATTCATCAATTTCACTTGAATGGAGCTAAGCCAGCTAATTTAAGATTTAAAAAATCATCTTTGAGAAGAGGTTTTATCAGAATTGCCTATTTACATTAATAAAATAATTACAAATAATAAAATAAATGTTCACATTACTTATGCTGCACTCACATAGGCCACAATTCCAAGAGCTCTTCTTCTATGGAAAAGAATGAGTTATCCTATTTCTTCCACAGTAAAACTGAAGCATGTGTTAACAAAACATGGTCATGTCAAGAACAATGCTGACAGCAAAAACCAAACCAATTATCTCCTAATTTATATTACAGTATGTAATCTCTTATGAATAGCATGTGGCCTAGGTTTAATTAACAAGCATTTGCGAAGTATTTTCCAAGAATTTCTTGAGCACGTAGCAGCTGCGTAACTGAGCACCTAGTACAAGAGGTAAGTAGGAAGCACATTTTCTGATTCTCTAACCCTTTAAAAAATGGTGGGGTTTTTTTGCATATGAGTAAGAATGAATTGAGAATTCAAACTAAGGAAAAGATAATTATGGAACTTTTACATCCTGCATATTACTTTGGTTATTAGATGATGTGGAGCAGCATATGGCTCATTACAATAAATTTTTTTAGAAGCCAAGGAAAGGAATGGATTTAAGAACCTGATTTTATTACTTTATTTGGAAGTCTTCACTCTTTGAAATAGTCTGTTCTAAAGAACATTATTTTCTCACTAATTCCAAAGGGATGAGAGAAGCTATAGGGGGCATGAGATAAAAGGAAAGCAGTATGTGTCCTTCTTTCTTCCTTACAAAAGTCCTTATAATTCTATCATCATCATCATCATCATCATCATTAAAAATTTGGGAAAGACTAAGTCTCCTAGAAATTATTCATGAAGTCACATGGGCTGTAAGTAACTGAACCATAATTCAACATATTTCCATGTGACTGGTGGCCAGACTGTAATAATCTCCCCTACTTTGCCCCGTTCTGCTACAATACCTAAAACAGAAATTATTATTTCTGTCACTGTCACTATCAGTATGTAAGTGTAAAATATTGTCAAATATGAACTAACATTAAGTGGAACTAATATTTATGTGTGCTACATTCCTTAGTTCACTAAGCTACAGGAGATCATTTTAATTATTTGGTCTTTTAAGTTAAAAAAAAAACTTTCGCAGCCAATATTGTTAGATAAACAAGTTCAGTACCTAAGCTTTTGGTTCAGAATGATGTGACTTCAAATCCTGACTCTACTTCTTACCAACTGTGCCACCCAGAACATGAGGGCTGAGCGCTGAAAGGCTCTGTTTTCTCAGTGAAACCATGTGAAAATGTCCAGCTCTTAGGTTGTCACTGGGATGCAAGATGACACAGGTAAAACACTGGGCTCATGGGGAACACTCAATATCCCACAGTTACTAAAACTATTAAACAAAAAATATTGTAAAACCCTTTACAGAAAAGAAGGGTTAGCAATAAATAGAGGTGTTTTTCACCATGGAATAAAAATATTAAGAAATGTTCATTTTAATGTGCTACATTTGTAGTGAAATTAGCAAGTTTACCAATAATTTAAAGTTATGAAGCAGTGAACTTCTCTTTACTTTATGGAGAAAGCAGAAGTACTGTTTTTTTAATTAACATTAATTTTTTAAGATTAATAAACAAGTCTCTATTTACATATTCTTTATTTGAGAAGTTCAAAGAGAATTACTAACATCCTTGTATTAGAACATTAACCTGGTGGAACACTCCCATTAGGCATTTCAATCTGATTGGCTGTCCTTAAATAGCGAGAACAAAGACAGATCCTGCATAATTACCTACTGAGTTCATTGTGTATCGTTTGACATGACTAAACCCAAAAATATAAATGCATATCTGTATTTAATACTTAAAAGACTAAACTAATTGCTTGAACTTAAAAAATAAGATTTTTCATCACTTTCCAAAATAATTCAAAATGAATAAGGGAACACATCATAACAGATTTCATATTTTTTGACACATATTTCCAAGACAATTGTAGTAATCCTAAAGAAAGATTTTACTGTAAATGTATTTTTCCCCAAACGATCTTGTTCATTCATCACTTTAAAATGTAAAACTTTAAAAATGTAATTAAAATATAGCAAAATATATTCTGATTCTAGAATGCTTCAGTAAAGATATGGTTTCAATAAGCATTCAGTCATACCAGTTACAAAGCTACTCTGACTAGTCAGGTTAGAAATGAGCTTGGATTTTAAAATTACTAATTTCTTATTTAGAATTTGTGATTAAACACAAATGGAGTGGTACAGGACTGAGATGCCTTATGGACATAAACTTTGAGAGCAAATTTGTATTGCTAATAAATTTGTGGGGGGATTTGTTTAACAGAAATAAACTACCTTTAAGAAATAATTCTCTAATTACATGTAAATAGAAAATGCTAGTTACAGAACAACCTAATTTCTTCATTAATGCAGGGCTACTACTACTCTATGTAGATATAGAATTATTTATACTGATAGCCCAAAATATAAGATAATCCATAAAAATTAAATTGTTACAGAGATTCATAGACAAAAATTTTACTTTTCCTGGATGCACACGAGAAGCAATGAAACTCGGAGACATGCTGGACCTATAGTCCCCATATGAATAACTGAAAATGATTGATTTTTATAGACATGAGCATAATCTTTAAGTATGTTAACTCAGTTTCAATGGTGAGCTCACAATCAAAATCATGGGTATGCAATGCAAAAACTTTTTTTTTAAGCAATAAAGCCAGTCAATGGTTCAGTATGATTAATGGAGCAAAATCTTTCATTTTACCAAAGAATATAGGTGAATATTTCAGATTATTGCGAAGAGCTAACTTATATCAAACCCATTTAACACACTGGTATCTTTATGCTTAAATTCGAGATAAAAATAATAGCGTCAAATAAACTGGTAGGTACTAAGTGCTAAATCCATGTGTCCTCTGATTTCTTTCTCAAAGCACCAGGGAGACTTACGATGTAGTTTTGCAGAAGCAGCTCCACTGACTCTCTCCTCCCATACTTGATGATCCAAGATTTCAGCTTTGATTCTGCAAGAACCAGCAGTGAGAGCAGACGGTACTTTAATTCTAGAAATTCCATTTTCATTAAGTGTAGCTCTGATGTGGAGGAAACAAAATGAAACCTAGAAATAAAACACCGAGAATTTACAGAATGTAACTAATAGTAACAGAACGGTGCTTACTTAACCTGTTACACGTCAGTGCTAAATATAATAGCAGGAACAAGGTCTTCTAAACTCTGGCTGATCAATCACTATCAGGAGATCTGATTCCTTTTCTAGCTCTGGATTTAAAGGCAAATCATGATTGATTGAAGTATTTAATTTAGTTCTTCCCCTGCCAAGACAACTCTCATCTGTTTCTTTTATAAGCTGTTTTTGCAATATTACATAATGTTCCTCACAGTACTGAATAAAAATACAGTCTCTGAAGAAACCATTTCTGTGATTTCCAGGCTGGGTGGATATATTCAGGTTTACTCTTTTCAAACAATAAGACATTAGAATGTTGGCATTCTTAGCATATGTTATGGGAGCTCAATTTTTATGTACCAAATGAAAGAATCTCTGCAAAAAAAAAAAATCAGTTCATTGAAAAGAAAAGAAATGGAAAAAACACCCACTAAGCATTTAAAAAAAGATACTTCATTTATAATCAGCCATTCTCTTACCTCTCGGCCATGTCCTCTAATTGATCAGGTGGCACTGGGATCCCGTTAACAGACCTGGTCCGGTAGATTTCATGGAATGCTCTTTTGTGGGCATCCGTGTTTTGAAGCAGATCCTAAGATACAATTTAAAAAAATAAAAAATGAGAAAACATGTTCACAGGAGGCTAAGAAGCATAATTTTCAGCTTGTAGCGATGAGTCAATGTACTCAACAATTTGATCATGCTGCTACATCCATATGCGACTTGGTGCCTCTCACAGGCTTTTACCTTGTAGAGGAGCCCTGGTGCTTGTCTATAAGGCCTGTGCTAGAGCTGTATCTAATAATTATGGCATCTTTTAAACACACATGACACTTGCACGGCAATGCATTCAGACATTTTAAAGGCACATGGTCCAAAGGAAAATATAGTTACTGCTATAAACAATGATTTGTTAGGATTTTTCTCCTTCCTTGATTTTGAATATATTGGTTTTTAGAAGCTGTAAACTAAGCACAACTGGTTTAACCCTTTAATGGTAATACACACACACACACACACACATTACACTCTTGTTATTTTATTTTGAATGCATGTAGACTACTATAAAGTGATACTTGCTCACCATTTAAGCCAGTTATATTACAATATTATGAAAATACTCCTATGGTTAGAAGATTTCAAGCAAGCACAGGGAATGTCCCATAGATATCAGAGTGGAAAGATCAAATGTGATGTTTATGAATATTCTTTGTAAGCTGTATAGAACTACACAAATTTTAATAACCTATCTAGGTTTGTTTTCTGAATTTTTCACTGTCAATAGACTTACTTGTATAAAGACTTACAGGTATGTCACAATTCCTAGCCAATTTCTCACACAGAAGTGAAGAAAAATGAAACATGGTTCATGCCATATTCTCTAGAGTTTAATTTGTTTCCCAATAGCAGAATAAATACCCAATAGTTTGTCACTCACTGAAAAGTAAGACCCATTAGCCCACCAGAATGATACACTAAGATTAACACTGTTAGCTCACACTGAGATTTAGTGGATTTTTTTTTAAAGATCTTATTTATTTGACAGCGAGATACACAGCGAGAGAGGGAACACAAGCAGGGGGAGTGGGAGAGGGAGAAGCAGGTAGCCCGATGCGGGGCTGGATCCCAGGACCCTGGGATCATGACCTGAGCCAAAGGCAGACACTTAATGACTGAGCCACCCAGGTGCCCTGATTTAGTGAATTAATTGGAGAAAATAGAAGGAAAAACACCGTAAAACCATAAGAGAAACACTTGATGGAAGGGGAAAAAAATGAAGGCTCTCATATATAAATTAAAATGTTAAGGTCATACTAAGGTCATATGTGCTTGCTCACATAAAGACGTATGTGTTTGTCCCTTTTAACTTGAGGGACATTAATTTTTACACTGTAGAAAAATCTAGGGCCAAACTACTTCTATCTTGGTATATTTTGCTATTATCACCTATTGATCTGCACAGGTAACTGCACAGATATTCACAAGTCACTCATGCCCAGAGGGAGGCCACTATGTACAGGAGCTGATCACAGGGGACAGAAGACCAACCTAAAGTAGCTAATGACTATGAGTATTTTAGTCACCCCTTGCCTCCTTTATAACATCTAGACACATTTCTGTGGCTTATGATCTTATCTGAGACTCCCCCCCCCCAAGTGAGTGCACGGCAAATTTAGAGCCATCACCACACCCAGCTCCGATTTATTATATATGACTATATGTTAATATATGAGTAGGGGTCGGTGACTATACTCATATGTCCCGTTGTTTTCTAAAAAGTTTTCCTTATTATAGTCAGTATCTAGTTAACTGAAAGAATCTTGAGAAGATATCAAAACAAAAACATTTTCAAAAATATGATAAAGGAACTACAGCTGGTGTGATGTCACTGGGATCCCCGAAAAGCCATCGTACTAAAAACCAGCTAGATGCTGAGCACAGCATGTGACTTTAATTCACTGGTGGGCTGACAGGAAGTAAGGGAAATCTTTTAGGTCTCCAACTCTGGCGAAAATATGACCCCAAAACTGGATCATAGACCTGTGAGCAAAAACAAATGGATAAAGCTGATTGTTTGAGGCAAGTATCTATACCATTGCTGTAGGAGTTTAAGTCTTGGAACTTGGAGAAGGTGGGAACAATGAAATTCAGAATCCTAATGAGCCAGAACCCTAAGTACTAACAAAAGTTAACTGGTAGGAATGTAACAATATTGGACAAACTAGATTTGAGAATAAAAGTCATTGCATGTAATTAATTGCTTAAGGATGAAACTTTCAATTTGCTAGTGGCTATCTTAATTCTGAACTTGAACATATCTAGTAAAGCCTTTTACATAGAGTAAACTTCACATATCTAGTAAAGTTTTTACATAGAGTAAAAACTGATAGAACTCTAGGGAGAAACTGACAAAACCACATGGCTGTGGGAGCTATCAGTGCCCCTCTCTCAGTGACTGAGATGGAGCAAAGGAGCAACTGCGCTAGCAGGCGGTAGAGGGAGGAGGAGAAGCAAGGGGAAAGGGCTGCAGATCTGTGGACCTCTGTAAGAATTTGGGAATGCTTATTTTGAATAGGTGGGAGCCAGTGGGAAGTTTTGAGAGGGGTGAAATGAACTGACTTGCATTTTACAAGCACTGCTGTGACCGTGTTACTGAAAATGCCCTATCCTTGATGCACTGCTTCCCTTAGCTTCTAAAACAACACAGGAGCTGGATTCCCTCCCACGTCACTGATTGCTCTTTCTCATACTCTTCTGCTGGTTCATCTTCTACTCTTTGATTTCTTGGTATTAGATTCCCTTAGAGCTCAGTTCTTGACAGGTTTTTTTCTCTGTCTATACTTCTTTAATTTCTTTAGTCTCAGAGCTTCCAACATCCTTCTATATACCAATGATTTTGAATATTTATCTCCAGCCTATACCTGTGTCCTGAGCTCCTGTCTCTTATCTCTTACTGCCTACGCCACATGTCCGCTTCGATGTGAAGAAGTCTCATACTTATCATGCCCCAAACTGAATTCCTGATCTTTCCCCAAACCTGCTTCCCTGTCTCTCCATCTCAACTGATGGAAACCCCATTCTTCCAACTGCTTAGTTGAAAAAACACAGTGTCATGTATGACTCTCCTTTTTTTTTTCACAATCAATATCTAATGCCAAAAATTGCTCTGCCTTGAAAATATTCGGAATCTGACCATTTCTCACCATCTCTACAACTACCATCCTGGTCAAGCCACCCTATGTGGATTATTGAGACTGGTTCCCTGGCTTTTACCCTCTACTGCTAACGCAGTCTCTATTTTCACATAATAGACAGAGTGATACCATCATTCCTCTGGTAAAAAAGTAGGTGGGAAAAGACAGTTATAATATGACAGTGAAAATCAACAATGCCAAAAGCACAATTAAGGAAAGTAAGGAGGCGCAAAGAAACAATACTCGGGGAAAATAGGGGCTTAACTACAGGCATGGGAAAGATTACCAAAGAATATTTTTAAATATTTTGAACAATTTAAATATTTGAACAATAATTTTGAAAACTTAGTCAAATGGACAATTTCTCAGAATGTATGAATCTGCCTACTGACCCAATTAAAATTCTGAAAGCCTGAATATTTCTAATCATTTTTAGGGGCTGGGAATACAACAGAAAGAAAACAGACAATAATTCTTGTCCTTATGGAGTTGACACTACAGTACAGGAAATCAAGCAGTAAATGAGATACATAATTAAAATAGCAGTTGAACTGGGTATTTACCACAAAGATACAAATGTAGGGATCCGGAGGGGTACGTGCACCCCAATGTTTATAGCAGCAATGTCCACAATAGCCAAACTGTGGAAAGAGCCCAGATGTCCATCGACAGATGAATGGATAAAGAAGATGTGGTATATATACACAATGGAATATTATGCAGCCATCAAATGGAATGAAATCTTGCCATTTGCAATGACGTGGATGGAACTGGAGGGTGTTATGCTGAGTGAAATAAGTCAATCAGAGAAAGACATGTATCATATGACCTCACTGATATGAGGAATTCTTAATCTCAGGAAACAAACTGAGGGTTGCTGGAGTGGTGGGGGGGTGGGAGGGACGGGGTGGTTGGGTGATAGACATTGGGGAGGGTATGTGCTATGGTGAGTGCTGTGAATTGTGCAAGACTGTTGAATCACAGATCTGTACTTCTGAAACAAATAATGCAATGTATGTTAAAAAAAAAAAAGAAGAAGAAGATAGCAGGAGGGGCAGAATGAAGGGGAGTAAATTGGAGGGGGAGACGAACCATGAGAGACAATGGACTCTGAAAAACAAACTGAGGGTTCTAGAGGGGAAGGGGCTGGGGGGATGGGTTAGCCTGGTGTTGGCTATTAAAGAGGGCACGTTCTGTGTGGAGCACTGGGTGTTATGCACAAACAATGAATCACGGAACACTACATCCAAAACTAATGATGTAATGTATGGTGATTAACATAACAACAAAAAATTTAAAGAAAAAAAATAAAATAGCAGTTGAGATGCAGATAAATGCCAAAGAAAAAAATCAACCAAGAAAAAGGGAAAGGGAGTTGTAATTTCAAAGGGGTGGCCAGGAAAGTATTGACTAAGAGGTGACTTTTCAGTAAAGGCCCAAAGGAAATGAGGAAGAACATACTGAGACTAATCAATGGGAGAATGTTTCAGGCCAAGGACAGAGAACATTCCAGAACAATGGCAAGGGCTAAGGGGTTGACATGGGAATGTGCTTGCCTGTTTGATATCATCTTTTCAGTGAGGTTTCACTGACAACCCTCATTAAAATTGCACCACCCCTAATACTCTCCGGCCTTTGACTATCTAACCTAATATATAATTTATTACCTAGTTACATTTATTATTTCTTATCCACCTCCTCCCATTAGAAAGCAAATTACATGCTGTAGGAATTTTTTCCTACACTGAGTGTCTGTTTTTCTTATGAGTGCATCACAAATGCCTAGAACATCACTTTGCACATAGAGAGTATGCAGTGAATATTTGTGGAAAGACCAGGAAAGATTAGAAAACATAGCCAGAGGAGTAGAAAGAAAATGAGGAAACCAAATGAAGAAAGTAGTTCAAGGATGAGGAAATAACTATGTGAAATGCTTTTGAGAGGCAAGGTAAGATACAGACTGAGAACTGGCCACGGAGTGAGGAAGAAGGAGGGCTCTTATGAACCTGACATGAACAGCATGGCAAGAGAAGCTCGACTGGAATGGGTTCTCAGAAGAACTGGAGAAGAGAATTCTGAAACCGAAATGAGCACAGATAACTTTCAAAGAGCTTCATTGAAAAAGGAAGGAGGGAAAATGGACCGTAGCTAGAGGGGAGGGGAGGGCTACGAAAGACAGGTTTTATTTTTAAAATTTTATTTATTCTTTTTAAAGGAGTCTTTAAGAGGAGAGGATTAACAGCATATACTTTATGTGGGTGGGCACAAATCCAGCAGAGAGAGGGTGAAAAAAAGGCAAGAACTACAGGCACTGTTTACCGGAGAAAAGCAGGGAGGATGGGATCTCATACACATGTGGAGGGGCTGGTCTTAGCTTGGAGCACAGATGGTTCATCCCTAGTAACAGAAGTGAAGACTGAGTATTCAGGCACAGATGCATGTAGGTGGGTTGATGTGGTCGTGGGAGCTTGCGGAAATTCTTTTTTGATTGCTTCTATTTTCTCAGAGAAATAGGAAGCAGTGTCATCAGCTGAGAGTAAGGATATGGGAGGAGGTGTGGAAGATTTGAAGAGACAAGGTATGGAATAGTTGTCCCCAAAATAAAGAGGCGATGGAGATGAGGCGAAAGGAAATGCCTTTGGAGTGCCAGGCAGCACTGGGGACCCAGCTGGGTTAGTCATCATGCCTGGGGATGTGTTTCTCCGCAGCCACACTCAGCTGTATATGCGTGGGCGGGGACCAGGCAGAAAGTGGACTATAACCAGAGCTGTGTTTTAACCAGGCCCACAGGACAAAGGAAACCGGGTCAAGACGATTAATGTGTGTACAAGTGGTGACCTTTACTGATTCAGCACTGAATTTAAGTAGAAGACCAAGGGAAAGGATGACATGAAGAGGGTGAGAGGCAGTAAAATCATGGACTATAGGGCACAGAGTTCATGCAATTTGGAGTTGGGGCAAAATTGGCTGGACAGTGAGATAGATGCTTGAAAAAGAGATTGTGGGGGGGGGTTCAGTTACTGGTGATGACAAGTTCTAGACTATGCCTATGCCTTGAAAGGCTAGGATAGGGTGTAGGATGGAATCCCTGAAAGACAGGAGATCAAGAAACTAATAGGCCAGGTTATTGGCAGGATTATCCATGGGTTTCTGAAGTTATTAAGAATTATGGCATGCATTGTCACGCAGGAAATAAAATCTTCAAAACAGGAGAGGAAGTGATCTAGGTAGGGTTGATAACTACAGTAAGGATGGGGAGTAGCTCATAGAGTTTCATGGCTATTTTCCTGATTCCTTAAGACTGAAAATCTTACTTGGCTAAAGCAGTACTACTAATAAAAATTAGTAAGTTTAATTACTCTACATGTGTTACATGCAAGAGCTTTGTGGGCATGGTTTAAGTTTAGTGTTTAAAACAATCTGGATTAGGGACGCCTGGGTGGCTCAGTCAGTTAAGCGTCTGCCTTCGGCTCAGGTCATGATCCCAGGGTCCTGGGATCCAGTCCTGCATGGGGCTCCCTGCTCAGCGGGAAGCCTGCTTCTCCCTCTGCCTGCCGCTCCCTCTGCTTGTGCTCTCTCGCTCTCTGACAAATAAATAAATAAATAAATAAATAAATAAATAAATAAATAAATAAAATCTTTTAAAAATAGAAATAAATAAAACAATCTGGATTATCAGCTATGTGACCTTGGGCAAGGCACTCAACCTCTCTCTGCCTAAAGTTCATTCATTTGCAAAATAAGGATAATAATACCTGTTCTCACATCCTACATGTCAAGTGCTTAGCAAAACTAAGTACTTAAGACAGAAGCATGGCTAAATACTCAATTATAGTTAGCTATGACTATATTTGTTACCTTCCTAGATAACTAAGCATAAGAGTATCTGGAAAATAGAAAAGCTAGTAAAGGTGTATCTTGCTTTTCAGAATAATATGACCCTATATACATACAATTAAAAAAATAACTTTGGTAGAACCATTTATAAAATGACCTCTTTGCAAAAAAAAATATTTTAAAAATTATCTGAATTGAGTTTTCGAACACTGATTATGTATTAAGTAACGAAGAATTGTCCTGTGGTATATCTTTAAAAAAAAAAAGGTATGAGTAATGCAGAAAGCCAAAAATTCTAGATCTTGATAGCATATCTAAGTTTTCATGGCAAAAGCCATCGTTACTTATAGACTGGGATAGGAAGATAATATTCTAAAATATTCTTACTTATGTATTGATGAGTCCTATTTTGTGCTCTTTTCAACGTATATATTGCATTTCCAAGTGAGCCCAACAGACCAGCACAAAGTACTGATACCAAAGTGATGGGCTGATTTTTCTGCTATTGAAGGGGCCTAGAATTTTACTTATCTCAACAATGATTCAAATTTCTCACATCATCAAAGCTGATCTTTTTACAGGCACCTAACAAATACATTTTAAATGAGTGAGAATTGATTTTATAACTGACAGTGACATTGTCGTATGACTCTACTACCTTAAGTGCCTGTGACCAGACCTAGTACAAGTTCCTCCCTCAGTAAAAAGATCGTTCTGGAGATCTGTTGAACCTAGTCTTTGCCCTTACCTGCCTCTGCTTACTTGCTGTTGTCTCTTCACCACATTCCCCAGCTTGCTCTTTAGTCCTTTCTGATTTTTAGTCTCAGATAAGCATCTCCTCCAACTCTTCCCACTCCCCTTTTCTCTACTCCATTTCATTTCTGGTTTTTATGGTTGTTTACTGCACTTTGGCAAAGGGATGGTTCTTGCTGCACACTTGGTGGTTGGCACAGGGTTTCTCTCTCAAGGGGGCCAGAAGGGTCATGAGGAGCCTGGAGTCATATAATCACTGAGAGATACACTGACAACATGTGCACATCCAACTTAAAACTCATTCCTTAGCAGGGGTTGCTGCAGCCTACAAGTGTGCAGCGAATTAACATTTCTGCTAAATCTTATCACCTAGTAAACAGCACAGCTAATATTATAGGGCATTTTCTCTAAGGTGGAGCATTCAAATCAGACTTAAGTATGTTATTCAAACAACAAACACATGTTGTGTCTCAAACTTACAGATTGGAAGCACCTTCACCAGTTTCCCTGGTGCATAAATCTGGCACACAGGAGGCCCTCAGTGTATATTTGCTGAATTAACACATTTAACCCACAATCGATACACACTCTACATTTGATTTTAAACCCTAAGCTGACTTCTTTTGTGTGCAATATTCATGTCAGTTAAACATCATTTCAGTTGTTACATGATGTATTACAGAGTATTTATGATGAATTGCTAATATTTAAAGTGGTATCATTTATGTAACACTGTTTCCGCATTTCCCCCTATTTTTAATATTCTGGGAATCTCAACATGGACATAGCCTAGGCTTTTCTGATGCTAAGGAGCCTTAACCCTGTTCAGTTCCAGAAAAACTCTTGTGATTTGATCTCTCATCTTCCATCTTCATAGATAGTACAGACTAGCAGGCCTGGATTTTATGTGTGTGTATCTCTACCCATGGAACAGATTCCAAATGGTGTTCTTACCTGAGAAGCAGATTCTAAGGAGTTTTCTGTGTGTTCTGTGCATGTTGGTGGTGGTGGGAAAGGGAGAGGCTAAGAGATAATCAGCAAAACTTCAAGTGTCTGGAGGTACTGATTATAACTGAAGAAGGGCCAAGAATAAATGCAGGAAGGGCCTTGACTAATTGTGTAGGAACACAAAATCTTCTTGTGTCCCTCTTGTCTGGCGGCTGAGTCTGGGTTGAGTGAGTTGAGTTGAGAGGGCCAGGAGCTGAAACTGCTTTGTACCTCTACATTTCTAGTTCTAAAAATAAGGTCCCAGAGGGGCATGAGACAAAACCTGTCATGAATTTGCTTTATAATCTGGTCTAGAATATATAACAGTCTATTTCCTTGAAGCAGTGTTAAAAATATTAATATTTTGACAGAAAATATATATGAGCTATAAATTGCCCATATGTGGTCATCTCCGCTTGTCTGTTTTCCACATATATAGTAATCCCCACCATGGCACAGTAAATGTGGTACACAAATTCAATTGCACAAAATGCAGGATTGAGTTTAATGTGATGTTGATGAAAAATAGCATTTTTAGTTAGGTCTGTACGATCACAAAACACAAAGAGGAAGGATGTTAGAATTTATACTAAGCACAATTGACTTTGCAGTAAGCTGAAAAATTAATAAATAACTGAAAAGTCATCAAGGTCTAATCCCACCCCTTCCTAAAATCACCACTCTCCCTCAACCCCTGCCCCGTCACAGCACAGGACATAGAACTTGTCAACTTGAATGGAGACAGGAATGAGGTCTGAAGCCAATGGCCAATCACATTATTATATAAATGTGTATGGTCTGTGGCTTACCTTTTGAAAAATAACATATAGCAATAGCAATAACAAAGATAACCACAGATGAAAAAATACCACGGAGCTATTGGAAAATACCTCAGAAAATAAATCTCCTGGAACCGTCAGCACAAGCATGGGTGAGGGTAGTGCGACATCTCCGAAACGCTATGAGTGGTGCCTGAGAGACCCATGTCCGTGGAAGGTCTAAAGAGCCACATCCCCAGACCACACTAGGACTGTCATGCCAGAAGATCTCCCCACCGGGATTTTTACCTTGTGTTGCTCGCGTTTCCGTTGTATTGTGTTGGCTGTTTCCTCATGGACCTGCTGAATGGTAATTTCCTCTCTCAGGGCCACCTCTGCTCTGTATAACCAGGCACCTATGGTGCCCAGAGGTGCAGGGAGAGATTTATCAAGCTGTATATGCCAATCAAAGAGCTGAAATACAAAAGTAGAAAAACATAATTATCTTTAATACAGAAGACAATTCCTAAAACTCCCCCAAATGATTTCTAAAAGCCTACATAAGGGTTTAAGTTAATTATTTCAGGTTAACTTAATAAATACCAAGGAAGAAAATATCTGTGTTCTGAATCAGATACTTTGAGAATGAGGAGGAAATTACAGTTACAAGGAAATTTTGAGGAAACTTAAAATACACCTGAGACATGGAAGGACATTATTGAGAGCTTAAACAATTAAACAATTTTCTTCTTATAGGAAGAGCATAAAGCCCCTGCGGATTTTCAATTTCAGGGCTTTTGCTGAAAGGGAAGGGACTGGGTTTGCTGAGATGTTCAAGGATCCAGATGTTATACAATAGCTGATGTGTATCCTTTAAAACCTCCCACATGAGAACAGGTCCAGAAAAATCAGGGTCATCCGGTCATCTCTGGAGGAAGCAGAATATTCAGGATTCTTTCTATGATAGTACAATTTCTAACTATTTCATTTCTACCACTTTATCCAATTCTTAAGCAGTGTTTCCTGACTTACTGGAACATCAGAGGTGCTTGGAACTAACCTATTCTCTGGTAGAGTTTGTGGAAAAAAGATTAGATTATAAAAATGAAGAAAATACAGTAAGTTCAAGGCAAATATTCCCATTAATGACAGAAGTTTCAGAGGTTTTGATATCTTGGCCTTTAAGTTTGCTGAGTATTAATATGAAAGTTACTGAGCAGTTTTCTTTCAGGTTCACGAAGGACTGGATAAGATTTGCTGAAATTAAAGACTGTTAAAAATGAATGTGAATATAGGAGGATGACCAACTGTTGATGAAACCTGGTTGTAAACTTTAGAGAAATTGCTGAGGCTCCATTCTTGGGTGAGTCATCTCTTCTAAATGACCCAGAATTGAGTCTTTCAGGATTTTAATCCATATCTACTCAACAGGGAAACTACGTATAGGGCAGGCAAAAGCAGAAGAGTTGTTAAGCCAAGTACTTCCACTAACTTAAAGGAAAACTCCCACAGGTAAACCTTTCCTTCCTCAGAAAGAGGCTGTAGGACCAGATGAAAACTCACTGTGTAGAAAAACATGATGGAAAATGTTCTTGACTAAATGATGTCAACCTTAATGAAATTAATCATGGGAGAACTTACCCTGGAGGACACTCTGTCCCAGGATTGTTTTACCAACGCTTGGTCAAGTGACAGTTTACCGTTTCTATGTACTGGTTGTATTAAATGTTCAATCTGTTTCCTTTTTATTTCATATTGAACTCTGAAGTGCTTAAATGACTAAAAGAGGAAAAAGAGCAATGACATGGAAATGAGTCAAAAACAGCAAACGCAAAGGAAACCACATTTCCTAAATAACAATCCTTTATATTGGGATAACACTCAATATATGCTGTTGGTAATAATGATGACAGTCATGATACTGATAGCAGCTACCGTTCTTCAAGCCCTGATGATGAGCTTGGTCCCATGCTAACCGCTCTCTACACATCATTCCTCTGGCTTTCTCCATAACCCTACAACATCGATGTGACCTATTTTTATTACAATAGGAAGCCCAGAGGTAACTTGGCAAGAACAAGTAGTAGAGGCAGGACTAAAACCTAAGATTTCTCATTTCTAGTTAAATAATCTATGTCCCAGTCCATGCTCTCAAGAAATAATAGTAAATACTAATACAAACCTATGCTAATCATCAAAATAGTTGCTTTACTTCAAAATACCAAATAATTTAGTTTAGAAATTATATACATCTAAATAATATTGATTTAAAGATATCTAAATTTGTGTTTAAATCTGGGTAAGAGGTTTACTTAAGGGATCTCAATTATATAATAACATTTTGCTTTAACTTTATGGCATTAAAATATTAATTACTGTATCATTTCTTTTATCATCGTGTTTAACATAAATTTAAAATATGTAGACTTAACCCTAAATCTAATACTAACCTTAAGAATTAGTGATTTTAATTAAAGTTCTACATTATATATTAAATTAACACATCCTTAAATAAGACTCCAAGTCCAAATTGAATTGAAAATACCAATAAAATGTGCAATTATGTTAAAGAACATGAGAATGTCCCTACAAACACATCTGAAAGAATGTCAAACAAACATGTAAGTTCACATGAAGAACACTGGGGGGAGACGGTGAGTAAATATTTTACCACAACTTTTATCTATCTTCCATTGCCTCTAACTTAACTCAAAAATACCAAAACATAAATTTGGCCTTCAATTTCGTTCCACAGAATTCTATGCATGAAAAAAATAGAAAAATGAACTACTGACTGATAAGTAGAAAGAGAAAATGCTGATTATGTAAGAAACACACAGATGAGGAAAATGTTTCCTATGTTCAGATTTCAGATGGTCCCTAATTTTTTTTTAAGAGACAGCTGATCATCTTGGGCCTGAAAGGAGTGTTTCTGTTTCATGCTTTTCTAATCCTTTGTCTTCCCTTTATACAATAACATTTGTACAACAGGTAGCTTCATAATTTGGACTTGATTTTTCTATAATTTATGCCCAAACTAAAACTCACCAATGGTCTAATAAGTATATTCACTCTGTTCTTGTATTTCTAGTCTCAATTTACTGGCTTAATCATTTTTTTAATGAAGCTCATCCAGAAAATTATATTTTTGAGAAAGAAATATTACATTAAGTTTCAAAGCAAATAACATATAACGTGTTCAACAAATATAATATTGATGGCACCATTCATCTGAATTCAGGCACGCCTTATAGATATTGTTACATAAAATACACACACTAATGCCAACAGCTAAATCCTTTATCATCTGCCATGTTGAGTGTCCTATCATTGCCCCCTTTTATGTAGCAAAACCGATTAAATTATAATGCAGACCAGGATATATTATAGTTTGGCCACTAAAATGCAATACTATTTTAAATAGGAGGAAAACGTCAATGCTGCATACAATAAATCACAATTTAATGGGAAAACCTGTTATAAGATTTTGTGTCTGAGATGTGAAAATTGAAATCTAAAATCCAAGTAACAGCAGGATAAGGAAACTGGGGGAACTACAACAGAAACAACCTTGGCGGCCTCAATTTGAGAGCAACAGTGTCGAACCGGGCAGGTAGCAACAGAAACTGATCCCATTAATGAGCCCACTCCAAAGAGTCATGTTGCAAGCCTTTGTTAGATACGGCTTATTCAGTAGTAGTTTTCTGTGTGGCACTGGAGTCATTTTTTGGTGGAATTTTTTGTTATGCGACAACTATAAGATCATGAGCTGTAGAAAAACAATGACTAGATGTTTGTCCTTGGGGTCATCTATAAGACTCTGAGTTCCAGAAAAGTCATGAAGCCTCGGAGCTCAACATACAGGTTGGACACACACAATTGGAAAGCTACTAATTCCACCTCTTGGTATATATACCCAAAGGAAATAAACAGATACTGAAGAGATATCTGCACTCCCTTGTTGACTGCAGCATTATTCACAATAGACAAGATATGGAAACAACCTAAGTGCCCATTAAGGGATGAATGATAAAGGAGATGTTATAGATAGAGAGACCTATAAATAACGTGAGAAAGAAGGACATCCTGCTATTTGTGACAACACAGATGGATCGTGAGGACATTATGCTAAGTGAGATAAGGCAGACAGAAAAAGACAAACACTATACGACATCACTTTTATGTGAAAAAAGCCAAACTCATAAAAACAAAGAAAATGGTGGTTACCACGTTATTTAAGTGTACAAACTTGCAACGAGAAGCAAATGAGTCCTAGAGTGAATATAGATAACAATATTGCATTATATTCATCAAACTTGCTAAAAGACTAGAATTTAATTATCCCAACCACAAAAAAGAAATACTTATGCAATGTGATAGAGGTGCCAATTATCTCTACAATGGCAGTCATATGACAATATATAAATGTCTTAAATTTTTTAAAACTACCTATTTACACAGAAATACAATTATTAAATTACATGCAAACTTAAGATAACACATATTATTTCTTTTAAGATTTTTCTCATTAATATCACTTGAAAGATAAACATAGATTAAATGACATATACTAATATTACTTATAAAAAGGATTTTAACAAACAAATCTTTTTCATACATTACCTGATATTTATCTTGCAAATTTGATTCTGTCATCTGTGCCCTTGTCAAATCTCTTTCAAATTGTTCTATCCAAACTTTTGTTTCTTTCAAAATTAGCCTGTCTTCTCTCTAGAAACCAGCAGAAATTACAATTTTATTAGTAACTATGCATTGACTTAATTGCTGATTAATAACTGGTGGATTCTAGAATGCACTGAATATTTAATAAGTTCCAATTGTCTCTGAAAAACTTCTCTCCTCTCCCTCACCTCTTTTGGAGAGTAAGAGAAAAGTTAATTCTAGATAAATAGCTTAATTATCTTGCTAAATACTGAAATGACCTACCTCCATTTTTTTTCTCAAGAAACAGTAATTTAATTAAGAAAATGCACTCAAGAGGAAATATCCTAAATACAAAAATACTCAGAAAGAACAATGGCTGGAATAGGACTGAAAACATAGGCTGGGGGTGCTTCTTAACCCAAGGTCATTTGTACCCCAGAGGACCATTCCGGATGAGAAAAATTTTGACTGAATCCAAGGAGTTACAGTCACAGTAACACTGTGGGCTAGTATTATTTAAAAATGCTATTCAGTATTATAACATAAGCTCCACTATGACAGAAAACATTTATTTTGTTCAATATGGTATTACTAGACCCTGGTAACACAGCACCTATAAATATTTACCAAAATATTTCCTGAATGAATGCATCCAGGCTACCACTCACATATCAAACATGAAAAAAAAAAGATTTATATCATTGTTTCCACAAATAATAACAAGCCATTCTAGCACAAATTTAGTGAAAAATATCCTAATTTTTCACAAGATTTCTTATCTGTTAAGAATGTCAAAGTAACCAAAAACACATTTAACATGGTTCTTGGCACTGACAAATAGCTTCCAACTACGGCATATCACTTGATCACAGCCCTGTGACACAGATGAAGTGACTGATGACAGGTTAAGTGGCAGAGGAGACAGAGTGCTGGCCATGGAGGCGGGCAAAACTGGTTCCAAATTCTGGTTCTGACAAGTATCAGTTCTGTCTTTGGACACATCTTTTTTTTTTTTTTCCCTCCTCTCTACTGCTGTGCCATCATCTGAGTAGACCTCACACACTGCTTCCCCAGTTTGGGGGAGAATTCAAGATAACCTGTGCAGCACACCTAGCACAGAGGCTGGCCCACAGTGCTGTCATGATCCATGCCTTCTCTTTCTTTCCACTCTTGCAAAAGCAATCCTATCCTGCCTGAAAACATCTTCCCCTGGATAACACCTTCTTCAGAGATCAGCTCAGACACAACCTCTCTAGAAAGCTTTTTTCTGACCCAGAAGTCTCGTTGGGGGGTCCCTCTTCTGTGCCAGTGGTTCTCACACAGTAGTGTGCACTAGAATCACCTGGAGGGCTTCTGAAAACAAATTGCTGGGCACCACCTTCAGTCTTCCTTGGCTCAGGATGTCTAGGGTAGAGGACGAGAATTTGTATTTCTAAGAAGCTTCCAGGTGAATCTAACGTTGCTGGTCTAGGGACTACATTTTGAGAACACTTCTCTGATCCTGTAACAACCTGAGCTCAAATATTCACTGAAAAAGCACTATTTTGTATTGTCCACTTAATTGTCTCTTCCCTTCCACCCATAGTACAAACACCTTATGTATCTTATTTTTCTCTAGCCTAACACAGTGTCTGGCACCCAGTTTCACTCAATATATAATGGTAGAATAAATGATTGGTAATATTGGTAAGTAGAGAAAGAAATGGAACAGGAGTCCAAAACTCCAAAGCTTTAGCCTTTCCTAAGATGGCTCCTCTGAATGAACAGATAAACATGACCAAGGCACATGGTTTATTGGTTGACCATCATGCCCATAAAAGCACCAATGGCACATCCTTATGAGCTCAGAAGAACTAAATGCTCTTGGTTTACCTCCAAGGTATCAAAAGCCAATGTGACTACTAAGTGGGGGGAAGATCATCGAAGTGAGCATAGGACCTCACTATGCTTTTCACCAACTGAAATTATTTCACAAAGTCATCTAAGAGAAAGAATTATGTTCTTAAAATAACCTCATTAGAGTTCATCTAGTAAATGACTTTTCTACTGGTGGAGCAGTGTCAGGCAAATTGCAATAAGGTAAGAAGCATGTAGCTATTTACACACTCAACATTCTCCTTTTAAGAGGAGATATTGTCCAAACAATATTTAGATTCCCAGAGCCCATTTAGTCTAGTGGCTTTTCTTCAACTGTTAACTTTTATATGCATTCAAAGACGGGGGGGGGTCTATTTGCCTATAAAAGGCACCACCACCACCTAAACTCCAGGCAGTTAAATGGCCAGTATTCTCATGACTTTTTCTCTTTCTCTCTATTTCATTCAAACATACACACAGGCATCTTTATATGTTCTGTAGTAGGTTTATGTGTACATCAACTCATGATTCATGGAGCATGAAATAAAAATTAATTTAATATTTGATATAAAATTAGTTACTTCTAATTGTTATTACAGTGTTGGCATGAAGTCTACTTTGTTGATAGATCCTTAACCTCAAGCCTAGATGGAACATAAAGAAAGATGGAAAAAGTATGGGACAACTTGAAATTGGGAAATAACTCATAATCGTTAATTCCACAAGTATATCTGAGCACTTACCACATGTCATGAACTTTACTAAATAAACTATATGACCAAATACTGAGCAGAAGAGATGTGATAAAACTCAGGATACAAGCTAAATGAATACTTAGCTTTTTTCAAATAATTTCCCGCTTAATATGTTAACATATAAAAATAAATCTTTAGCTTTGTTTATTTCTCATGTCACATACAAAGAAACCATAGTTATTATAAATTCTTCCTTTTATTAGTGTTATTAAAAAGAAATTAATTGATGCTATCTTGTAATTAAAGATTAGTTCATGCGAGTGGCTTAGACTATAACTAACATTCAATAACACTTACATGTTATTTATTCTATTGGAAAGGAAAAGGAAATAACAGAATTAATGCATTAAAAGAAATGTGTATATAAAGACATATACATGCAAAGGAATGGCTAATAAGCTATGGAACGTAGGATGTTTGAAAGAGGTCACTGATTCAAGATTATTTAAATCTTACCTTAAAATTTTGGATAGAATTTGCAAAAGATGGAAAACCTGGAAGTATTTCCTAACAATATGAAAAGATAATATATAGAAAAATAATATAAATCAGGACAAAAATTATACAGGAAACAAGAAAAAAAAAACAATGGAGAGGCATCTGTCCATAAATAAATAGATGATAATTTTATGGGTATAGTTACTTTAAGAGATTTTCATAACTTTTGAAAGCATCAAAATATTCAAATCCAATAAGGCAATGTAGTATTCTAGCATTTGATGTTTTGTTTTAATTTTTGGCAATATTTACATTTTACAAATATTTATAGCTTGAAATATTAACCATTTTAAATGGTGAACTATGTAGAGAAGAGGTATATTAATTCATTTTTCTCTTAAATACACTCATAAGACGCATCTCTGTACCCCTATACCAATTAAGATGGTGCTGTGCTTCTCAAAGCAGCCAGTAGTAGTTGTTGCAATGGGAGAAGGAATGAGTGAACAAACAACTCTAAGTTTAATAGCTCACAGAAATGAACTAATAGGCATATTTTATTTATTTATGATTGAGTGCTAATTATTCAAGAACATCTTTAGGGAAAAACTTGATCAGTTTTATTGGCTGGAGTAAGAAAGCATAGCAATGTCTATTTCCAATAAGAAAATCACATTTAAAAATCGTATCTATAAAGTATCTAATTTAAATAAACTCATAAAGAGGATACAGCATTCAAATTCACCAAAAAATGGAAGCCTGGGAGACAGGGTGATGCCAAGCTTTTTAAAAGTGAATTAAAAGAATTATTTCCTAAGACTTGATTAGACAAATACTAAGTATTTTGAGGTGATGGCATCAATAGCCCTAATGTGTGTAACCTATAAAATCTTAAAGTTTCACCAGAAAAAATTAGGTGGCCATTTAGCTGCATTAAGCAAATGAAAAATATATAAAATACATAAAATTCCTTTTTCTTATTGAAAATATTCATTTTTAGATGCATATGCCCTCCATTATAAATGCCACACTAAAAAGGGGCAAAGCTTATATTTTCCTCAAAATTAATTTTTGAAATAACCCTGAAGAAATCATATGTACTCTCTTTTCAGGAAGGGATAGAGGGAACTTTTTAAAAAAATCAATTTATTTTCTAGATAATGAAATTAATCTCTTAATAATAAAGCCTCTTTAGTAAAACCTATTAACAAGCTTATGTCAGGAATGTGTGTCATTCAAATCTTGATGAGTTTTGGCATTCGATTCTTGCTCATGAGCATTAACAAAAGCACCTTCTTTTGTTTCTCAGACACTGCCAGTCACAGAGTTTACTCATCTGGGGAGATGATTAATGTCAGAGAAATTAAAACCGTACAAACTCAGAAACTTGATCAGAAATAAATCCAATTGGGTAACAGAAGGACTTTTGATATGAAAATCAGATGGAAGCTGACTTTCTCTAAGCTGTATGGGGTTAGTCTAATATGCTTTCTAATGGAGTTTTCTTATTCACATAGCAACATCTTCAACAAATTATATTCTCAAAACCCAGAAAACCCCAAATGACACCGAAGCACATGCATCCGTCTATGCTAGAATTTGTACAGAAAGTCTGGTTTTGCCTCCTGTGGTTCTTCTTAGAAACATTTACTTTGCTGACTATGGGTAAGTTACTCTGGTGGTCAGTGTTTGCGCCTGAATCCTGTCAAGGAACAAAACAGGTTTCCTGAAATGATAGTTTTAAAAAAAATGAACATAGTTCTATCAAATGCCAAATTAACTTCATCCAAGCAACCTAGGAAACACCAGTTACCGTTGTTTTGCTTACTTTTTTATGAAGTCACAGATTTCTATTAGTGCAATACCTTCACCTATTTGAAAATCTGGGGTTATGAGCCGTTGGCCTTTTCCTTTCTCAGACCTGTTTCTAAATCTGTTTGGAAACCATGCAAAATTTTTTGTTGTTTTTCTTGTTTCTCTTTATTATACTCTCAAACTGCTTTGAAAACTCTAGTTGAGACCTGAGCAATGAAGTCAGACGGTTTTTTAACACATCTTGAAAATTCCATTTATTTCTCTCTGTCTCTCATTTTGCCTTATAATTAATTTTAAATTCAGTAGTAAACCCACCTCTTTATAATTAAAAAATAATAATAACACTTAAAAAATTAGAAAAATGGTAATATCCATTGTTAAAGTCTGGGAAAATAGGGGCGCCTCGGTCTTAAGTGTCTGTCTTTGGTCAGGTCGTGATCTCAGGGTCCTGGGATCGAGCCCCACATCGGGCTCTCTGTTCTGCAGGAAGCCTGCTTCTCCCTCTCCCACTGCCCCTACTTGTGTTCCCTCTCTCGCCATGTCTCTCTCTGTCAAATAAATAAATAAATAAAATCTTAAAAAAAAAATTAAAGTCTGGGAAAATAGGCATTCTGGTGTGCTGGCTCGAGTGTAAAATGGGACAAACTTTTTACAGAAAATTTTTTTAAAAAATTTCAAAAAGCATTAAAAATCTATATGCACTTTAGCCTAGAAATTCCACTTTTAAGAAAGAATCATAAAACAATGTTGTATTACAGAATTTTTCATAGAAGCACCTTTTATAATGGTAAAAATTCAGAAATTTTCAACAATTAAAACTGGATGAATTATTGTATATCTATATGATGTCTTGGAAAGAATGGTATAGGAAGAGTTTTTTTATGTTAACAGAAAAAAAAGATGAAATTGTATGTGTACTATAATTCTGTTTTTGTTAAAATATTATGTGTGTCTACATATAGACAAATGTTGGAAATATACACCAACATATTAATTTTTTTCTAGGATAGGGTCTCTCTAAAAGATCAAGTACAGATCATTTTCTTTTTCCATTTTTTTTTACTTTTTCTCTTTTATGACAATGAACATATGTCAGTGGCGCAGTATAAAAATGTTATTTAAACTATTGAGAGGCTGAAAAAAATCTAATCACAGAGTATCAGGGCTTTTACAAGTCTGCCTTACTTCCATGTGTTTGTTGTGAGTAGTGCCTTATATAATAAATCTGAAAGTCAAAAATAAATTTTCTCAGATTAAACAGAATATGGGGACTCAAGCTGTAAAGGCACAAATGACATGATGAATATAAAATTACTTCAATCCTCAAATTACTAAATGAATCTCCCAACAAGTCTATCTTTCCTCAGTTTTAATTCATCAGTGCTCTATGTCCAGCATTTATCATTAATAATGCTTTCTCTCACATATCCAACATGCACATCAGAAAAATCTTTCCCTGTAATCTCTTCCCCAGTTGGTGATACCTATTCTTTACTCAGTTGCTCCCTTTTTGAAATGCATTCCAAAAATAAAATAAAATAAAATAAAATAAAATAAAATAAAATAAAGCATTCAAATTTAATTTTTAGAAAGCACCATGTTAAACATCTAAGTCACTACCACTGAGTGTGCTATCAGTGCTTGAAGAAAAAAATACTTACATCATTCTCTTGCCCATCAGTGCCTGTATTGTGGATGTCAGGGTAATGGTTCAGAAACTGGGCTACATAGGTCATAACAGACTTCTCATCTGGTTTATCCACATCAACATCTGGAACAACCAAAACCAAATATGAATAGGTTAATTAGCCTTCTTTATATTTTAATAACACAAACTTTGAAATCTAGCTAATATGCCAAAAGACACTGTCCTAAATGCAAAAGAAAAATAGAATTAATATTTCAAGATAGTGAGGGAGGGCAAACCAATTTAGTTTGGATGATACGTGATGGGAATGTTATGATGCAGAAAGATGACACATTTTAACTACGAACCTTTAGGAAAGTAATACATGTTTCATTTAAATAATATCAACAATAATTCACCAAAAATCTGAGACACTTTATGGTTATTCAGACATTCTGTGAAAACATAAATACTATGTAAATTTCAGAACTGGGGTGAGCGGGTAGTAAAAAATGCTTACAGGTGTGGCACAGAATGACGTGCCCATAGAGCTTGTATACTGTATCTGGACAAATATAGATAAGTTCCCTCTTGCCCCCACAAGTTTTATTTTAGAAAAGAGGAAGATGCCTTATGTTCAATTCCTTGGATAGCCTCTTCCTTGTGCATGATTCTCTCTAAATTACTACACTTTGAATGGTCAAGTACTCTGAGGGAAACACAGAGCCTGAGAAGATATTTTTAAGTGTACGGACGTTTACTAATAAAACCAATAAAAATCAAGCAAAGATATTTATACAAATTTAATCATTATAGAAATATAGGGGGTAAGACTGCAACATATAAAGAGTTGAATGTTTTAAATCACCTTTTAACTATCCCTTTTAAAGGCAATGAAAATGTGATTACATTTGGAGTTTACAAATATCTAACAAAACAAACAAAAGCCATGGAAACCAAAATATAAACTGCCCTAATATTTTGTCATGTGCCTTGTGATTTGAGATATAGTTTCTACAAACTATCAATGCAGGATTGAAAAAGTGCTATGGCTCAAAAGACTTCAAAGGAAACAGTGATCATGTATTCTGGAATGCACTGGATGACTCAAAGGTGATTGTAGAAACGACAAAATCACTGATGTGGAAGATGCACGTGAAGAACAAGTAAAACTTTCATGAGATGTGAAAGTGGAAAAAAACATTTAACATGATTTAATACAGTAATACAGCATTTAAATATATGTGTAACTAAATCATAAACTAATTGTTGTAATACATATTGATCTATTTAATCTATATTCCTAAAAGTTTATACATCCTGGTTTGCTAAATAACCTTTCTAAATTTTTTTAAAAATTTCTTTATTTTTGTATTTTTAATTTTTTTAATTAAAAAAGTTTAAGATCAATAACTTTTTGAGGGTGGAGTTCATATTAGGAAAACAAAAGGTCACCTTATATCTGGGCTAGCCTGGCATCTGGGCAACCTCAGTTCTATCATCAAAGGGAACACTAAGCTTCTCTAGTCTAGTGGATATGAAAGAATCGTTTATACCCTCTTGCTGTCCTACTCTAAAAAATTGAGGGCTGGGATGTGTGTGTGGCTTTCTCCTTGAGCTGAACATTATTGACTTGTGTGTGTGTGTGTGTGTGTGTGTGTGTGCGCGCGTGTGTACACAGAAATAAGGTGGAAAGCCCTTGACCATCCTAGTGAATCTGTGGGTACCCCCAGCAGGATCCTCAAGTAACAAGAGATCTTCATTCTGCTCTCATCTCAGGAAAGCCAACCAGGGACTTGTAGGTATCTGTAACTTACTCCTGGAGGCACAAGTGTCTCCATTTAGACACTGTTTTAGAGTTAGACATGCTCATTCTAAAATCTCATCTTTAAAAAGAACTTGCTTTCATTGTATTTACTTTGCTTTTTTTTTTTTATTGCAGGGGGAGAGGCAGAGGTCAAGGGAGAGAGAGAGAATCTTAACCAGGTTCCACACATAGCATGGAGCCTGACGTGGAGCTTGATCTCATGACCCTGGGATCATGACCTGAGCTGAAATCAAGAGTTGGACGCTTAACCAACTGAGTCATCCAGGCACCCCTCTATTTACTCTTCCACATTCATTAATAGAAATATCCATAACTGCCAACCCAAATAAGAAACTGCTTGTGACATTTGGAAAATTCACTTTTTAAAAAAGATTTATTTATTTATTTGAGAGAGAGAAAGCAGGCGGAGGGGCAGAGGAAGAAGGAGAGGGAAAGAAGCAGACTCCCTGCTGAGTGCAAAGCTGGAAGCAGGGCTCCATCCCAGGATCCTGAGATCAAGACCTGAGCTAAAAATCAAGTGTCAGATGCTAACCAATTGAGCTACCCAGACACCCCTGGAAAATTCACTTTTAATCCTTTTATGTCAATATAACAAACAATTTATTCAGTTTACTAAAGTTTATTAAAGGCATCAAAATTGTCTTCTGAAGGCTTGAAAGAGCTTAATCCACTTCTATAATGTCTTAAAATTCACAGCCTTACCAAAAAGGTGCCAGACAATTCTAATGAAAAACAGTAGTCGAGCATTTGTGTGGTTTTCCCAACTGACACTGGAACACTGGATGGTTATCAACATTTCTAAGTTTCTAGTGACTGACATTTTTTTTTAAAGATTTTATTTATTTATTCATGAGAGACAGAGAGAGAGAGAGGCAGAGGGAGAAGGAGGCTCCCAAGGAGCAGGGAGCCCGATGTGGGACTCAATCCCAGGACTCTGGGATCATGACCTGAGCCGAAGGCAGACGCTTAACCATCTGAGCCACCCAGGCGCCCGTAGTGACTGACATTTTAAAGATATGATCTCCGATTATTAATGATCTCTTACTTCTTCCGATTCTTTGTTATATAAACAGAGTAATTCTTTCATCCTGGACATCCCTCCTCCCCTTAACATGCACACTTCTAAAGCTTTCATTCCACCCTTACTATATGGAGTTACTACTCTTCACTTGGCTGACACCACCCACGTCAAAGTGCTGTTTGGAGCAACAGAACTATATTTTGCTCCCATATCTAGTGAATATTTTTCCAAAAGAAAATCAGTGCAGGAAAGTACTATTTCTTCCTGCTTTTCTAAAGTTTTCTGGCCTCTGATAAGGTTTCGGAAATCATCTGTAATTTCTGCCTTTAAGACATAGAAACTTACTGATTTGAAGTGTGTGTGCAAGAACCAACAATTACTCCATTTACCTTCAGGATCCAGTAGTCTTGGGATTCCTAGTTCTGTTTCAGCAATAGTGAAAGCCTCCTCCAGGTTTTCCCGGTTAGGTCTCCCTTTCACTCTCTCCAAGTCCACTAGTTCTGGTCGAATGGCATGGATGATGGAATGGAAGGCGATTCCACTTCTCCAGCTCCGCCCAAAGTCTTTTACTTCTATTCCCGTCTGCCTTAATGTGATAAAAAAAAATAAAATAAAATAATGTCACATTCTGAATAGATAACATGCACTGTCCTCAAGGACTAATGCAAAATCCAGTCCTCAGCAATGACTCATGTGCAGTTATAGCAGTTAGTTGCTTGAAAAAAATTAGGCAAAATAAAATTTTTAGAGGGTAACAAGATAAGCGGGAGCAGTTTTGGTTCCATACTTAAGAATCTTCAATATTAGACTTTTCAGTAATTGAGATATTCAATGTAAAATTTAAAAAAAAATTTTTTTAAAGGAAACTAATATAGAGAAAACATATCTCGCAAAATAAAAAGAGAAAATTATAAAAACACCAAAATTGATAGTAATTCATCAGTGTATACTTTTGAAGAAGTATCTAGCACATTTCCAATGACACTGATAAACAACAGTGTATTGTATGTGCACAGGTATTAACATACTAAGATAATATGGCTGAATTATATCAAATACTTTAGAATGAACAAATGCAAATGGATGTAATCATATCTCTAAAATCAGTCACACAGGAGCCTACACATCACATAAGTTCAGACAAGTTTCCATCTACCTCACTGATCAAACTGTTTGATCAAATTGCTTTTTAAACTCTGTTTTTGGAATTGCCTTGAGAGCAATGCCCTTGGTGGCAAATCTTTGTTCTTCTGTGGTGGATAGAATTAATTCAAAGCCAATTATGATAATTAAGAATTCATTCAAGTTGGTAGTAATAGTTTGTTGTTAAAAATAAAAGTGATACAAGCTCACACAATGAATTTTTTTTTACATGTAACTTATCAACTATATATAATGGCAGCTCCAAAAGGAACTTGTAACGATGTCTTTGAACAACATCCCTTGGTTAAGTATAGAACATTTGAAGGTGATCAATTAGGTGACATTCAATGGATGAATATCTTGGTAGTCTCCTTTTAAAAAAATCAGTCTCATTATAGTTCTTTCTAAATGAAGCAGAGGTAATATCACTCAATTCCCTTTTTTACTATATTCTCAAGAATTCCATGAACCATAAGGTAGATTTGATTGATACATTGATTAATATACAAAGTTGGTAAGTGCCCTTAAATTTTATCTCTGCAAACTTAAGAGTCACTTTAAATCCTTTTCTACCAATGTACATTCAGCTTGCATAAAATGTCTTGTGCTGAAAACAGCATCATTGTATCTCATCACTGGCTTCATAAATATATATTTTCAAAACAATTTTGTAATATGCCAGTAATAATAAAGTAATCCTGTATCCCCTCTTAGTTCTTTCAGAGTTCCTGTCTCTGGCAGTATGCATGTAATATTTTCAGACAATGTCTGACACAGGGGCAAATACCCACACAGGTGGAATGGGTCAGTGTGCTCTTGTTAACTCCTCAATTTGTACACTTACCCTGGCTTCATCTTACTTTTCCACCTACATTTTCCTTTTGCTCACATTTCCTCATTTGAAAATGTTTTTGTATTCACAGACACCTCAAATTATTTTTTAACACAATAAGGTGGGTGCAAATAAACAATTAGCTAGCAAATATTCATTGTGTATTAGATATTTTCTGATTTTCCTCAACTTGTTTATTGTTTCAGATATTTTCAAAAATATAGAAAATATTTCCCTAAATATTACTATGTTGGAATAATTTTTCAAGTTTTAGTACATTTTCTTTTTCTATATTTGTTGAAAACACACACAGACACACACAGACACACACAGACACACACACACATGCACACCTATAATGTTTCATATTAGATCAAAGCAGTTAGGTGATATTCCTAAAAAGTTTTAGTTTTAGTCCAAACCTCTCATTTAAGAATCTCGGATACAAAATCTAGGAAAACTTAGATATGTCACTTAAAGGAGTGATACAAATTTAACTTGGACACATCACTTAAAGAAGTGATGAAGTATATCCAGTTTATAGGCATTTCTGACCTCTAATACATACTTACTTCAAGTCATTTTGAATGGACCTGGATATACAAATTTTCATTTGTTTCATTATCTTATTAATTTTTGTCTTAAAATACAATTGTTCTTCCTAGACATCTCAAAATGAAGTATGCAAATATCAGATATGCTACAATTTAATTCTTTCATGTCTGAGAGTATATAGTGATAGGAGATAAAGTTGGTAAAAAAAATAGAGAAGGCTTAATTATGTTGCATTACTGAGTTTTTATTTATTTCTCACATATTTTGAAATTTTATATAAAAACAGTGAATATATTCTGATAACATGTCTGGTGTTTACTGGATGTTTTGTCCTTTCTTGTCATGGACAGTCTCATGAGACTGATAAACATTCAGACCACAGAGTCTCACAGATTATTATTTTAAAAACATGTCATATACTGAAATGGGTACAGATTCTAAAGTCTTTTATCCATAAAAAGTAAAAAGTTTTTTTTTAATTATGTTATGTTAATCACCATACATTACATCATTAGTTTTTGATGTAGTGTTCCATGATTCATTGTTTGCGTATAACACCCAGTGCTCCGTTCAATACATGCCCTCTTTAATACCCATCACCAGGCTAACCCATCCCCCCACCCCCTCCCCTCTAGAACCCTCAGTTTATTTCTCAGAATCCATAGTCTCTCATGGTTCGTCTCCCCCTCCGATTTCCCCCCCCTTCATTTTTCCCTTCCTACTATCTTCTTTTTTTTTTTAACATATAATATATTATTTGTTTCAGAGGTACAGGTCTGTGATTCAACAGTCTTACACAATTCACAGCGCTCACCATAGCACATACCCTCCCCAATGTCTATCACCCAGCCACCCCATCCCTCCCACATTTGCAACGACGTGGATGGAACTGGAGGGTATTATGCTGAGCGAAATAAGTCAATCAGAGAAAGATATGTATCATATGACCTCACTGATATGAAGGAATTCTTAATCTCAGGAAACAAACTGAGGGTTCCTGGAGTGGTGGAGGGTGGGAGGTAAAAAGTTTCTTGAAAAACACATAGTGGGATAGTATTTTTAAAAAAGCAACTTTTAGAAAAATTATCAACAATCTGGTAGGTATAATGGAATCACGTGTTGATCACAGAATTTTTATGTTAGAGAACAGTCATCTCCCCAAATCTCTACACTTGATGCAGCTATAAAGTAAATGGATCTCACTGATATGTTGATGGGTGGAAAAGCCTTGGATCCAGAAATCTGGACATTTATACAGATAAGGAAAATACAACTTCCACTGATGTTACACACATGTAAGTTGCAGGAATGACTTTTAGTTATCATTAGACCCTTGCACATCTTTTGAAAGCTAACACACCATATGTAAAACAAAACCAATGCAGAAAAACTCCAATAGCATTAAATTTGAGTTTACTTTAAGCTACTGTAATATTTTATTTTTGGTTGGAAACCAATTTATTTTTGGTTAATTTAATGCTTTTCAGCAATGGGAGAGTATCACATTGATATTATCATGAAGTTTTACTAAATAGTATCATGACAAATGTCCTAGCATATGGTCACCTGTCTCTTCCTACCTAGCACATTTCTTCTCCCTGCCCAACTGAGCTGCAAAAGAGATTAGTAATTGCCACTATCAATGGAATGCAAACAGGATACCAGCAATGTGGTCAGGCTTTTACCATTTTATTTCTACTATGGATTCTAAAAAGCCACAAAGCTTTGCTTTCAGAAATATTTCTGACTACAAGTTGAATCATAAAAATATACCCCAAATTAGAAAACCACCAACACACTTTAAAACAAAAAGATGCAAAATAGTAACACTAATTACATCTTCTTTATGTTTAATTTTTGTCTTTATTTTTGCTTTTCAAACACTTTAAAAATAGAACTAAAAAAAAAAATAGCACTCCCTACGTTTAGTGCCTCAGTATTTTATAATGATAAGTACTTGTTTAAAACTACTTTCCAGAAGTAGGGAATAAGATTCAGATTAGATTTAGGCATGCAAAAACAAAACAGAAAGTGAGTTAATTTGACGTGTCATTTAGGAAGTCATAGAAAAGCACAATTTCTTCATGAAGAGATCTTACCACTGACCACATCTGACCACAAAACATTGGTATGCTCAATTTTTTTAAATTGCTGAAAATGCTATTGATAGTGCTATGAAAAGATACTCATTGAGAGTAGCAATTTTCTATCTAGCATTATCACATGAATGTACACACATGTAAATTTATTATGCCCAGAAGCAAATCCACAATCTATAAAACTGAAGCTGACAAAGGAATCTACATTTCAGATAAAAGAGGAGACCCAGGGAAAAAGAATTTTAAAATAAAATTGCTAGAAAGTTTTGGGAAACAAAAATAATTCTTTCGGAATGTGGACCTTAGTTCACATTATTATTAAACAGAACTCAACAGTCTTATAAAGAGATAATCACATTTAAGCCTCTAGTTTATTTGTGTAAAGATTATTTAATAAAAGCAGGAAGTCCAAACAATGACCTAAACAGAATTACTCCTCAGATGACCAAAGTGTGTGTTAAAAATAAATCAACTGGGCCCAATCACATGATTAACAAAGGAATTAGGTTGATTACAGCATTTTCCTAGAGTATTAGTGATGATTTTTGTTTATATTTTAATTCAAGGAAAGAATGGAACAGCCTGAAGCAAAGCCCTTCATTCAAATGTCTCTTCAAATTTCACAATATTGGCAGGTGCACTCAGTAATAAATTGGTAACTCAAATTATTCAAGGGCTTCAAATTTAAACAAATTCTTGGTACTTACTTGGCTACTGTGTACTGAACCCACTTTAATAAAGCCTTCTTAGCATTTCCTTGGATCTTGGTGGCCACTTTCCGTTTACTTGGGGGGCTGGCGGTCTCAGCGCTAACCATGCTGTCCACAGAGGACGTGCTGCCTGACAAAGACTGCAGCTGTGGCAGGTTGCTGGTCAACTCCTCAATCTGTTCGTGAGTTAACAGGTGGCAAAAACATAAGAATTATCTTGTTCTTCTTTCCTTGGATGTTTTACTTTTCCAACTAAAAGTGATTTAAATTCATGCCCTTAACACCATTGACAAGGTAAGTTCTTAAGGCATAATCGACGTTGTACTCTTCTTCCGACTTCCACTGCATCTAAAACTAACTCGTACACAGTAATAAACACTTGTTAAACACATGAATGAATGAATAAAATAAAACCTAATGGTTATCCAAACTCCTAGAGCATACAACACCAAAAGGGAACCCTAATGTGAACTATGGACTTTGATAATGATGGGTCAATATAGGTTCATTAATTGTAACATGTGTATTACTTCAGTGGAGGATGCTGGTTATGGGAGAAGCTACACATGGTGTGCGGACACAGGATATATGGGAAATCTCTGTACTTTTTGTTCAGTTTTGCTGTGAACCTAAAACTGCTCTAAAAAATAAAGTCTTAAAACAAAAACTAAGTGTCTGCCTTGGGCTCAGGTCATGATCTCGGGGTCCTGGGATCAAGCCCTGTATCTGGCTCCCTGCTCAGTGGGGAGTCTGCTTCTCCCTCTCCCTTTGCCCCTCATCCCTGCTTGTCCTCTCTCTCTCCCTCTCAAATAAATAAAATCTTCAAAAAATAAACAACCTAATGGCTAGAACAATTATTCTAGATGGAATGGCAAGTTCATTTCTCCCCTTAATGTCTAATGGGAACATAAAACTGGTCCCTTCCAGAAAACAAAACAAAAAAAAACAATTTCCTGAACTCTTTCTACAGCAATATCTCATCTCTGATGTGTCCTGCTCATTTTTCAGATGGAGCACCTATGTCACAGTTCTTTGGGGGAGTACCATGTATAACATCTTTGCAGGGAAGAAGAGGAAATTTTTCTGCTAACGAAAAACAATATACATGGAAAGTCAAATTTCTGCTCACTTGAGAATCAACCCCAAAGGTAGGGCAAATGAGAGTACTATTAAAATTTCTACCACTACCTCCATCCATGACATTATATCAACTGAAAAGGGAGCTATAGTACAATACCTGGAAATATAGAATAATGGTCCACACCAATCCAAGAACTATTGAAGGTCGGCCATCAGCTATATCAGTGGAGTTAATGTTGACTAATTTAATCTGTTTAAAAAGAAAAACTGTACTAGTAATGTACTAGAAGATTATAGACCACCCAATTATGCAATAATTAGCACTTTAATAGACATCAGTTGGACAATTTGGTCATGCCTATGTAGTGATAAACAAGAGTAAGTTGGGTGAGCCATCAAAACAAACAAGCACATGGTTTCAGTGGAAATTTCAGAAGCATTCATTAGGGGCACACAATAAAAACAACTATAGAATGAATTTCAAAAAATTGTTTAAATTTGAAAAAATATGACATCATGCAAGGAATTACCAACAAAACACCACACAGAAAAAAAAAGGTTATTTTTTAAATTCAGAAGTTGACTGGAACTTAAAAGAAACTGTGATGAGTAGTTTAAGAAAATGCACTTACTTTGAAGTTTGTTACCAAATAGCATGAAACTTATGTTCTCTTTTACCTATAAAAGTCAGGAGTTAAAAATTCTAAAATTTGTACTAACCGGTGATCCTCTGTACATGGACTGACATGAAAAACAAAGGGAGAAGATGATATACACACATAAATAATTTTTAAAAATCAGAGTTACTCTTTCAAAGAGAATAAAAATGTAGGTAGTAAATTTAGAGCAAGATTTGGGGAATACATTGTAAAGACAAAGGAAAGCCAAGAAATAATAAAGTAGAAGAGACCATTAGGGTTTAGTTCCTGACTTTTGAGCATTCAGGAGAGATGTTAACTTGTCTGTAGTTGTCTCTAATTATTTATTTTAACGCCTTCCCAACTACTAAAAATGTTATTTCCTAAGTCCCAGCAAAACGGATGTATGGTAAGTCTATCTCAGCCATTCTCAGAACAATACAATTAACAACTGCTCACCATACTTTCAATAATCCCTAAACAAATTAGAAAAAAAAAATAAAGTGCTCCTTAGATTTCTAGCTCAATAATTCTCAGACAAGATTGAATAAGATGTGTTATTAATAATAAAGTTAGAAGTTTGTAAATGGCTTACTTTTAAAAAATTATCAGATGCAAAATCATCCCACAAATAATTTACTCTGGAGTAATTAGTTTAAATTTACTAGTAGAGTAAAAGTTAGCACAAAAATCACTGTAAATAATTTGAGATATATTTGAGATATACCTATGGGGTTTTGTCTCACTGGTGAAATTCATTCATCAGGTTCAGAGACAGGAAAAAAAATATTGACAACTTCCATAGATTGCAAGCTTATGTGTCTATTTCTTTTAAACCTAGCACAGCATGAGACAAATAATACATGTTTGTGGAAAATAAAGATCACATTTTTTAACCTTTTATGACAGAACCTATTGCAATGTCCATAACCATTTTGATTACTCTGGTTTACAGCTTCTCCAGAATTTTCTCCACATCCATTTTAGTATCCACAGGGCACAGATATATAATACATGCTAATAACCAGAAGATTAATGCATTCCATGAAGGGCAGATTATTTATCTTTCCTTATATATCATTCTTTTTAAAAATGATAAGTTGAATTTTCTACCTCAATCCAGCTCCAGATGTACCATGAAGTTAATATACTGAATTTATGATAGAACCTAAAGATATCTTGCTCAACTTCTGAAGAAAAAATGCTTTCCACAATTATTTTTTCTCTTAAAAACTGTGTGTTCTATAATGGGCCATCAACTATATCAGTGGAGTTAAGGCTCCATAGAGCCTACTCTTATTGGGCTTATGAACTTATCCTATTAAATTCTTAATAGCCTAGGAGTGGGGGATGGGCAATAGAGACATTCAAAGAGAATGAAGAATTCCCAGAAACCAGAAGGAGAATGGGATCACATTTATTGACCTCACCTTTGACCTGGTGACCTTGGGGGTGCAGCTCAAGAATCTGCCTTAACAAGATCTCTAGGTTTTGTTGATTCTGATGCATGCCAATGTTTGAGAATCCTGTACCAGACAATTGTATGTGGCCCAGGTAATCTGGGGAAGTTTGATTTTGCAAGCCAGAAGCCCATATGGACTGGTCTGTGTTTCCTCCAAATTCACATGTTGAGGCCCTAACCCCCAGTGTGACTGTATTTAGAGACAGGACCTTTAAGCAGGTAATTAAAATTAAATGAGGTAATAAGAGCAGGCCCTAATCCAATAGGACTGAGGTCCTTATGAGAAGAGAAGGAGACACCAAAGCTCCTTCTCTCTTTCCACACCCACACAGAGGAAAGGCCAGTGAGTGTCTGTCTGCAAGCAGGAAGAGACAAAGAAACCAACTCTGCTAGTACCTTGATCTTAAACCTCCAGCCTCCACAACTGTGAAAAAAGAAATTTCTGTTATTTAAGCCATCCAATCTGTGGTAGTGTTATGGGGGCCACAGCAAACTAATACAAGGCCCACAGGTATTTCCAAAAAATATTCCAATTATTTGGGAATAAATTTAGAAAAAAAATTCAATTAAAACTCCAGATCCCTACCTTTTCTTGATAAATTGGAAAACCTAACGAATGGATGCATTGCCACTTTATGCTAGTTGCTTTCTACAATGAGGTGTCGAGTGAGTCATTCTAACCAGTGATATAGGTAGCCTACTACCGGCATTATTTAATAAATAACTTAAATAAATAGTTAGATTTTAATAAAAATCCAGATTGCTGACTTCTCTTGTTTAATTGGGAAATCTGAGATCCCTGTGCTTGCATTTCACTGAGGCAACTATAGCTGGAACTGCATGTTGATTTCCATCTTCCAGACAGGGCACAAAACTTGCTCAATTCTCCTGTTTCCATAATTAGCCTCTAACTCACTTCATCTTTAAGATCACCTATCTGACTTTATAGGAACTAAATTTATGTCGCTTGTCTACACTAAGGGAAGTTTTAGGAAAGGTGGTCAGTGGTTGGCTCCTTGCATTACTGTTTAGAATGACCTACCTGATACCTCACTGGGGAAAGAAACTGGTGGAAATGGTACGGGATCTACTCATTAGAATCACGTTTACGTGGTTCCTATCAGGTATTAATGTATGCTTTTTCCAGTTTCCCTGTAAACAAGTGGAAAACAAACACAATGGTAGGGTTTTCTCCAGTAAAATTTGAGGTGTGCCCTTATCATTCCTTAAATCAAGCTAGAATCCAAAGACTAAACTGATTTTCTATTATCTAAAGAAAAAATCTAAATGGAGGGCAAATTAGGTCCAAAGGTCAAAAACAAATCCCTGAAAATATGTTTGAGATATAAGTTCTTAAATTATAAAAATAAAATAAAATAAAATAAATAGCAAGGTAGGCACTAAAGAGCCTTAAAACAAACTCATTCCTCCCCACAGTCAAATTTTATTACTTAGGTTTGTTCTATGAAAATGATCTTGTGTAAAACAAGTCTTCTGTGAAAAGAAAACTCTTTGGTCCTCTTTACAAACAATGCCTTTATAGGTTAAGTCCTTAAATTTTCCCCAAGACATTAACAAGAGGAATGTTTTTTTATATCCAATGAAGGATAGCTCACAACAAAGCAGGATACTATAATTATATAGGTAAAATGGGAGCCTCAGTGACTTGGAAAAATATAAATATCTTGTTCAACATGGCTTTTTTAGCTTTCTATGAAAACCTCATGGAGGAAGCTGGAAGAAGAGGAACACTCCATTAATAATAATATTAGTGATCTGGAAACAATGTCCAATATTCTATAAGAAGCTAATATTGTTTTTCTACACCATCCTAATGTCCAGAATCTCTCTTTGGCATGGAGTCTACACAAATGACTGGACTTTATATTGTTTAATCGTACTATCAACTGATCAAAATATAAATTATTCAGTGAATAGAATCAAGTATTTTTGTATTTTCTAGAGTTCCTTTCATATGGAAAGTATTCAAATATGCATTTGGGTAGTAAATAAATGAATTTGGTGATATAGATGTTCAAGGAAATAGTTGAACCATTCTATTTTCAAGGAGTATCTAGAGATCCATTTATAGAGCTGGTTTTGGTACTGCCAAACACAGACACCTAATTCCCACAAGTTGGGAAAAGGCTAAATCTAAACCAGTTGGTGCACCTGGTTTGGAAGGAAACATGGCAATACCTAACAAAACCACATACACACTTACTTCTTAGATAATCACACTTTCAGGAATTTACCCAGAAAATACCCTTCTAATAGTGTGAAAGTATGGTGGACAGCCTTTAATTGCATCATTGCGTTTGATAAATACTAGAAACAACCTAAATGCCCCATTCATAAGTGATTGAATAAACTCCGGCACATCCACATAATGAATGCAGCTGTAAAAAGGAATGAGGAAGATCTCCATGAACCGATTTGGAAGATTTCCATGATATACTGTTAAATGAGAAGAGCAAAGTGCAGGAATGTATTATAGGATGTTACCCTTCATATAAAAAAAAAAGAGGGTGTACAAAAATACATCTGCTCATTTATGCAAAAGAAACGTTGGGAGAATAAATTAGAAGCTGGTTCCCTAAGATGAGATAGGGAATGGAAGGAAGAAAGATGAGAATCGAATAGTAAGGATAATGAGCGGGTGCCTTCTCTAAGCATAACTTTTACTCTTGGAATCATAATGATGTCTCATTCCCCAAAATAAAAATAATAAGAATAAGAATAAGAATCATAGTCAACTAGGATGTATGTGTGTGTGAGGGGGTATTACTCAAAACTGAATACACCTTGATTACCAAACTCTATTACAAAAGACTATCATAACACTGAAGGGAGAGAAAAAGAACAAAAGTAACCTAAGTAAATTTGGAAAATAGTCTTTTAGCTGAATGCTGTAATACTAAAGACCAAAAGACTTATACATACACACTGTTCTCCAGTGAGTAAATCTGTTTCTCACAGGGGTCTGGTAAGCAATTCTTGAACAATTTTACATCTATACTAAGATTAAAAAAATAGATGAATACATTATAAATGAAAGCCAGGTTTCTCACTGTCAGAGAAAATAGAAACAAATAAGCATGGGAGGCTATTAACAAACCTTGTGGTATTGGACTGGATCAGAAGTATCAGTTTAAACTAATGGTTTACATACACACACACACACACACAGAGAGAGAGAGAGAGAGAGAGAGAGAGAGAGAGAGAGAGAGAGAAAGGAGTCAGGGGGAGAGAGAGAAAACATATATGCATATACCTGGGTTAGTAAACATTCGTATTTTCTAAATCTGTCTGTTGAGAGGGCTTAGGGGCAATGAAACTTCAGTAGCAATGAGCACACCCAGCACGCAAACATTGTTCACTAATAAAAAGACCAAAGCCTGCTTAGGGAAGTGGTTGATTCCGGAACTGGGGCAGGGAAAACATGTAGTTCTGGAAAATGAGGAAATGCCTGAAAAAGGATGGGGCCATATTAGAAGCCAAATGGCCAAAGCTGGAACAATTTGAGTATTATTATTATTATTATTAGAAGCCAAATGGCCAAAGCTGGAACAATTTGAGTATTATTATTATTATTATTATTATTGGATTATAATTATAGAATAAAATAAGTTCATGCCAAAATAAATAGTTGAATAAATAAATAAATGGTGGGAGGGAGAAAGGACAACCTTTACTTACAGAACACTTTCAATTAATACATGTGAAAGGACTGAGGGAAACACAAAATTACCATTAGGCAAACATCACAGAAATAATTACTGAAGAAGGCAATCAATGCTAAAATCAGGAAGCAAAATTTGCAAGAAGTAGAGTATTAGCATAATCTCAGTTATCTCCCCTAAGTTATTTCTCAGTTATAAAGGAAAAAATCATAACTTTATCATAAAAAAAAAAACCCACAGCAGAAAGCCTTGCCAAGTGACTGAGGTTAACATCACCAGCAATAAGATCATCAATCCTATATCCACTACATGGTGCCCTGAGAAGAATGCAACATCACTTCCTTGGAATTCTTGCCACAAATGTATAACCTCAATCTAATCTTGAGGAAACATCAAACAAACCCAAATTGAGAGACATTCTCCAAAATAACTGACCAGCAGCTATTATCAAGGTCACGAAGGACAAGGAAAGACAAGGTCATAGAGTGGAAGAGACCAAGGAGCCACAATTAAATGCAAAGTGTGTTACTGGATTGGATCCTGGAGAGAAGTAAGACATTAGTGGAAAAAGGGATGAAATTAGACAAATGTCTATGCTTTAATGCACTGTATCACACCAATTTAAAAGTCCTTCTTTAATAATTGTGCCATATATATATATATATATATATATATATATATATATATATACA